CCTTACCTGAAGTTTTATACTCCTGTGCTGTTTGTTAAGAATCTATTGTAAGATAAAAAGTATGTCAACATCTTAAATGAAATGGATGCTTGAGTTTGTAGAATAAATAAATATTTTCCTTAATTTTTCAAAAAAAACGGAGGAGATCTGTACATGTACATGACAGGAAATTCGCTCAAAGAGCATAGTGGCGTCTCACCTTCTGATAACTTTCTCTATAACCCCGCAGTTCCAGAGTGGCAGCATTACCACATGCAAACTTTTGGTGTGCAAGTGTTGAAATCTTCCAAATTGTTCCATACGAATCTAATCCAACTTTGAACTATGGAACTTGCGTTGGTGACAACAAACCTTTGTCTGTGAAGCCATCCATTCTCCTCTCGCTCCGTTCCTCCTCGCCTTCGTGCTGCCTCTTATTGCTCGCTTTGCTTACTCGGGATCATCCCTTCTGCTCAAGTTGAACTTTCACCACTGATTCACATTTACACCCAAAAGTTGGTTTATTGCGCTAGCTCTCTCTCTCTTTCTCCCTCTCTCTCTCTCGATCTCACTCTCCTTCTTGAGTGCTTTATTCAAACTTAAATATACACTAAACTTGTACAAACCAAACTTGGAGGAAGGAATGAACAAAAGCACGAGAGTTACTTTAATAGATTTAGTCACAGTTCATGCATGAATATTCATAACTTTTGGTACTACGGATCTAATTTAAATTGATTTTGTTTTTGAATCAAGCACTTGGATCAGTGAACAATACATCTATTACAGTAATGAATTGTTTCCATAATTTCATAAATACCAACCAACCTACACATGCACTTGTACGGATAAACCTAGTCACACTTTTGTTCTAGAACCAAACTCGAATTGGAATATATTTGCTGTGTACATGTAACGAACTGCGATCTAGAGAAAGCGAATTGTATTGATCTTAAGGCAAGACGTTTGAGCTGCTTGTTGCCTCGAGAAATAATTATTTTTAAATAAAAGGAGATTTGGATGAATACAATTTCGAGATTGCCGAATTTCCAGCAAAGTAGCAGCTTTACTACTGAATCCTACTGTGAACGCGTGAGACAGCATTAAACGAGTGCTTCAACAGGCGCTTTTCTCTCCCAAAACCGGTCTATCGATTGTAGTAATGCGATATTTATTTTGTCAACTTACAGTCACAAATCTTATACAAGCCGCTTATATTTTATAAATACGTACTTGAACCGAACCGAACTAATGAGAGTTATCAGAAATCGCGAGGAAGATTTCTAAATTGGTCGGATCATTATGCTTTGCTCCATTTCATTTCAATGTACCGTATTAGACACAGCCAATGCTTGATTTAAATTACAAGCCTCGAGCCCTCTCAAAGTGCTCTCAATGTAAAGGAATCAGCTTAAATACCAGCTCAAACATAATACTAGCTTAATTGTACAAGATTATCTTTCCCAGAAAATTACAAGGCTCTTCCACCCCACTTGATATAGCTGACAAGCCTCGAAAATCAGACAACTTCTTCAACGGCATGCAGGAAGCCAGCAGGTGGCTTTGTGATCACAATTGCAATTTGTGAAACTGTGAATGTAAAGACATCTTATATCTACTCTCATTTAAAAAATTCATATACACAGTTATGTTTGTACATATTTATGTGTATACATTTTATTTGTAACTAGCGTATAGCCCGGCCAAGGCCGGGTTCTAGACTTCCAGTGGGGGGTGTGCCCAAAGCGAAAATCCGTCATACTATACTTTAAATAATTCCCAGTAGAGACTTTGTCATACTACATACATCAGAGTGAGGGTTTGCCCAAGTCATACTGCATTTTAATTAACCTGGTCACAGTACAATTTAATTTCCCCCTGTGGGAGTAGTTGAATAGCTAATTACTTAAATTCCCGTCGCGTGGGAGTAACTGCATAGCTAACTATTGAAATTCCCACGCTTCACGCTCCCGTTAAGTTCCATAAACCTCAACTTCTATAATTAACGCCAAGCTATTGACGGATTCGGATTCAGCGTCAAAAATACATTCGAATTGATATGCGACTCGCTGTGGGTGGAGTTTCTCAAACTAAAATAATTAATTAATAGTGTTTATCAAGATCACTTATCATGATAACCACTATTGATGAGTTATGTATACTGCTCACTCACTCAATTTACTTGCACACTGTGTTTATATACAAAGGCATTTAATTTGAGATTGATGGCAAGCGTACGTGAAAGTCACATGCAGGCGAAGTGAGACTCATGCAAAATTCATGCATGCAGTGGTTGCTTCGCTTCCTTCTTTGTCTCTCTACGGGGCAACTTGCATTGAGAGCCACAGGGACTCAGGAGGAGAGTACGCCAACCTGATAATGACAGATCTTGATGTCCTTTGGATATATGGTAGTACCCCCTCTGAAAGTAAAAAGTGTGAAGCGGTTTGATGCCATGGCCCAACTTACGCCCGTCACACCCCTTTGAAGGCACGCCCGATGCCAAACTAACTGCACTAAAAAATTCGCCAAAAATCCAATTTTGTTCGGATTTTCATAATAGTTACATATTTATGATCCCAAATAGTTGCTTTATCATATTCAGTTGCAAAATTAACTTTTCAGAAATTTTCAATATTTTCGAATATTTCCTGAAAAGGGCATGGCTTGAAAAAATTCAAAATTCCAAAAAAGTTCAGATTGATATCAGATATGATAAAGCAACTATTTGGGATCATAAATATGTAACTATTATGAAAATCCGAACAAAATTGGATTTTTGGCGAATTTTTTAGTGCAGCTAGTTTGGCATCGGGCGCGCCTTCAAAGGGGTGTGACGGGCGTAAATTGGGCCATGGCATCAAACCGCTTCATACTTTTTACTTTCAGAGGGGGTACTACCATATATCCAAAGGACATCAAGATCTGTCATTATCAGGTTGGCGTACTCTCCTCCTCAGTCAGCGACTTAACACTAACGCTTTATTAGAGTGGATATCAATGTGTTTGTACAAATTTATAAATAATAACCAATTTTTATCTTGATTACGCATTTATGAATTTTTGCTTAATGTGGAAAATTTAGTATAGCCAACAATTTGATACAATAATTTGCATCAATTGCTATGTAGCCAACGGAAAATTATGCTGTGACTTAATCTCGAGGTTGTTTGTCATTTGAGCAATATGACATAAACAACTAATGACTAACCATTTTAATTCCGCTTTTTGTTGAAGAGCACTTGTGCTACTTGTAACTTTTGTGCTTATGTGTACATACTTCAGAAGGTTTGTAGTCTTGTAGATACAATCTTGTTGGTAGGAAAGATTTACAACAAACACCAGTATGGAATTTTAGGGCTGCCATACAGTCTGTAGAAGTAGAAATAAGCACGATTATGGCTGTGATGGAAGCTCCACCACACATTTTTATCGATCCGACCACGTGTCATTAATTTTCTTTGCAGAAATACATCAGAGAAGCAGCAATAGTATCAAGATTAGCAAGTAATGCGCCTACAAGGCTCCTCAGTCCAATCCTATTATCCTGATGGACACTTCCGGAAAATGAAAATAATCTCAATGTGGATTACCGATACCTCAAGCACCATTATCATAAACATGCCAGACTCTAAGTGGTATTTTCTTTTGTATCTTTTGCAGTTTATACGTAGTTTCTCGTACATATTGAGACTTTGCGTGTTAGCAGAGTTTAATCAGATTTGTAATTTTTGTATCTGTTGTAGATCAACTCTTGTTTTGTGTCTTTCTCTGTAATAAGTATGTACGCAGGACCTTTTACCCCTGCACCACTACTGCCTTGAAAAAAAATTTGTATATTACATTTTTACTTGTCGTGAATAATAAGTTATTCTGTAATGCATAATAAGAATGTCCTCCTTCTCTTTCCTAGATTTTCAGTGTCATTGGATTTTTGATATCATTGGTGTATTATTGAGGAACCCAAAGCAAGTTAGTTAGATCATGTAGTATATACGGCTCCTCTGGTATAAACAAATACACGGCGTTGGGGTTCTGTCATTTTACATAAAGTGCCTGATCACGTACGTCAATGTAATCCGAGGGCTTCATTCAACAGGAATTTCGTGACAAGCAGCCTGACATTTGCACAATTAGTCCCTCAGAATTGTTGAAATTCATGTCACACTCCTTGTTCTTGTTTTCTTGTAGTGACGTCTCTATGAATCTGATTAGCCTCTCTAGTGCTAACACAACAAATGAAGCGAATCACGCAGCCCGTCTTTAAATATTAAGACACGAAAAATTAGTGTCTTCTTGTCTGACAACTTGACAAGGACATACAGAATCCTGGAATATATTTTGCACTTTTCTAAAGGTATATAAGTGCACATTTCAATATGAAAGCTTATTTGGCTTAAACTTTTTCAGACTCAATTGGTTGGTTTAAGCATGTAAATATGTATGCAAATCATACGCAAGGAAATTGTGAACCTGACTTTCTCCGATTAACAAGCTTCTGTTGGTATAACTGAAAACCATATTCGCTTCCTGTAAAATTATCGACTTTAAGTATATATATATATGATAATAATAATGAATATTTCAATGCAGAAAATAAATAGTTTATAGTTCAAAACGCTGCTCCACAAGAATTTGAGCGTGTTACAAATTAAACACAAATTTTAATCAATATTGTTTGTCTCTGGAAGTGCTAACTTTTTTACCACGCAGCAACGAGAATGTAGACGATTCCCGTTTTTGGTGTGGTTGTGTATAGTTGCCAACATAAAATGTCCCAAGTCCAGCACCTGCCACTTCATTCCGCAGACTTACGTGAAAAGGTGGAACAAATAAACGACCGTCGATATCACTAAATTATTCAATCGTCAAAATGCTATTGATATCTATCATTGGTTTTGTGACTTGGACCGTGTTACGTTGGGCACTATTCTTCATTTAATAATGGAATTAGAATGTAATGTCCACCAGTGCACTGACAATTTGACATAACAGCTTCTGTCATTTTGAGAAGCCAGCAGCAAAGAACTGTCGAACAGTTTGTCTTGAGCTCTTAAACGAGGTCCACTTGTCCGCTACATTCTGAACGGGTAAGAAAACAACCTGCCTTTTTTAAGTATCCAGACATGCACAAAGTGTGAGTGTGTGAGTTTAGCATACTCTCATCCCATCTCCACCAAGAAACACTCACTTACTTTCTTGAGTAACAGACAGTTTCATTTTCTAGAATGCTTTCACCAAGAAAAGAAAACAAGGAGAGCTGTTAATTTTCACAATGTGAAGAGCAACTCATGAAATAAAGGTATATGCAATGTTTGCACAGTAATGGGCATATGCACATTTTGAATACATACATATACATATATATGCATACAAGTGTATAAATATGTAAGAGCTTCACTGAATAAGTAATACGAAATAATAAATTTGTTTCTAGAGGAAATGGCGGATGAACGCCCACCTGAGAAGGCTGTCACGGTCCAGTCTCAGATAAGAATTATTCGGATAGTTTCATTCGCCGAAATCTGGACGTCTCTATTAATTCTCCTATGTCAAGTATGATACCTGTTAATTTGACCATATTAATTATTATGAGCGCATTGTTTACGACGTTTTCGATTCTTTTGATGTAAAGACCATTGCAATCGCTGCTTCCTATGAATTCTCTACTCGATCTCTGACTGGAATATGGACATCATTTTTCTTTTTTATGACCGCTGGATTAGCCCTGTTTTGGTCTGTTCGTTGCACCTTTAATGGGTATTCTGGCATTAAATGGTCTTTCTGCAGGATTAGTACATCAGACCAACGAAAATTAACCTTCGGTTTCTTGATTTTTTGTGCTCCCAACAGACTATTAGCCATCTTGGTGCTCCAGATAATTGCGGCCACGATGACCATTCCGCTGCTAACGGCGAGCTGTATTATGCTGGGCGTCTATAATTTCGTATGGAATCCTGACGAATACGGTTGGTTCTTTATACATAAAAAAGTATGTACATGTGAGGTCGAATGCATGAATGAATGAATGGACCGCCCGTGTTGTCCGTATTGATTTCGGGGATTTCGTTTATTGCTGTGTGCATTGTTCCATAGGGTTTTTATTTGATATATGTATCTCTGCACAGCCTGCAATGCCGTCTCATAATTGATTACATCGTCGTAGCATTTAATTGATGGCTCGCACGGGAACAAGTTGTAATTGTGTTGGACCCTCCCAAATGGGACTTGTTTATTTTTCAAACCCTTTCTATTCCCTTTCGTCATTTTGACGCAAATATATGTTCTTTCAAAATTAATATTAAATAATGCTAATTCAAAATTTAAAACTACATTCGTCAACATATTAAGAAAAATATTTTTAGAAACATTACTTGTCTATTTGACTAGTGTTCAGTCTTGGAAAAAATATTACAGCATAGTAAAAGCACGTGTGAAAAGCACACATCGTTTATCTTGGTGAAAGGAAGCAACGCAAGGAAAGTCTGATGAAAAAAGCTGCACCTTTCTCCGCCCTCATCCGCCTCACACATGCACTGGCATTGTCGCCATAAATATTGCTGAGGTTGAAGGCAGAATAGGATCGAACGAAATGAATGAATTACGAGTGTTAAAAAAGTTGGAAATGAAATTTGAGGACATTTTCTCGGCTTAGGAGTAGAATTCAGATAGATGATGGTGAAAGATTTCCGGGTGGTGGCAGGAAGCAAGCACAGCCTCCAGTAGTCCACTCAGAGTAATTCAGAGTATATGGTACATATCACCACTTCTATCTATCTCTTTGCCTTTGCTACGTGTTGCCACCGTCGACGTCCTGAACTGTAAAACTATCAATACCAGCGAAAAGATATGGGGCTTCGCTTGCTTGGACAAAGAGAAATGCTTGAATAGCAGCTTTGAGCTCTGGAATTCCATTAAGTGTGTTCAATATTATTACTTTTCAGGAGCGAAAGAAGTCGGGTCATCGACGACAATATTGACGACAAATATTGGTCTAATGGTTTTGGCTATCGCCGAAATGGGGCTCAATTCTTATAACGCCTACAAATGCTATTTTCTTGCCTATGGGGGTCAAACTCAACCAAAAGAGGTGCGTTGGTAGGCAAGTAATCACAAACAGTGGGACACGTTCGTGTTCCTCCTCCCGACGCTTTATCACGTCGACAGCAACTTATCCAAACGCTCAAGGTGGTTGGTTGTCCCTGACGTCGTCTTCCTTCAATATGTTTAACTATGCACAGACAAAACCTACAGCGCATAATACATGCAAACATTTTGTTAATCAGCATCTTCGTATTGTCTACCCATCTTTTGACTATCTCACATGCAGCAGTATTGCAAGTCGATGTGTTACACTTGAGCTTTCATGGTTTAGCAGAATGCAATCCTTCCGCCCCGTGTCACTCTTTTAGTGCTAATAGCGTTAAATTAATCACAATTTTTTCAAGTTGTTTTCCCCAAAGAGAAAAGTTGTTAACTCACTTTAAGAAGACGGTAAGGAATGAGTATAGCACGTTGCAGGTACGCATACCCAATCAGGCACTACCACTCTAATACATAAAACGCCTTTTCCAATTTTTACAGAACAATTACGACCATCCATCGATTAGCAGTTCCTCCGAGAGTGTGGATGGTGGCGAGAGAGATGATGGGATTGCTGGTGGAATGGCCAATAACGTTGAAGAGGAAACAAAGGCCGACCCTGCCATGCCTTTGCCCCTTCCAGATTTGATGCTTGGTTCAGCGGATGTCCTCATTTTCAAGTACATCGGCGTTGCTGGAGTGATATTTTCCCTAATTATATTCTGCTCTCAGGTGCGGCTCCTAAAATATTATATATTGTGGCATTTCCTGCATCCAAACTACTCTGAGCTTCTCATCCACTTTGCTTTCCTCATGGCAAATCCTAACTTCATTTCCTTTCTCGTGTTCTGCAGACAGCCATGCTAGTTTTGGTGAGCAACAACGGAATAAAAATTGGGGTCGGAGTTTGGGGAGCTGTGTATTTCTTTGTGACTTCAGTTATAATTTTGCTTTCAAACCCAACGTCTCAAAGGTCAATACTTTACCAACATTTGCATGATATAAAGTGTGTTCATTTAATTCGGTAACATTTTCCATGCTAATTTTTGAAAGATTGGTACTCACAAACGGTGATACTTGCAATGACAATTTTCTGTCAATCATACATACCTAGTATTTGGTCTTCCAACCATTTACTTGAATATTTTCATCGACTATTTGCTTCAGAATTTTTTCAAACTAGTAATTGGTATGAATTTCCTCTCGTTTTGAGTATTTTTTATTAACTTCTTCCGAGGGCTTGGTTTTGGTTCTTTGTACACTTTTCCCTTCAGCATAGGTGTTCTAACGCGATCAAAACCTCCGCTACCATAATTTCCAACTAAATTCCGGAAATTTATTTAGGATAGGTCCAATTTAATTTACTTACTGTTCTGTCTTCAATTTTGTTACCGAAGTAAATGAGCGCCCTCTAGATGATTCTAAATCAATAAAACTGTATTCCTTTGTTTTAAGAGCTTCGTTATATATTATTTTTTCCTATTGTCCTTTACTTTTTTTGTGCTAACGGTTGTATTTTTAAATTTTCGTCATTAGAATTTTTTTCATATTTATCCTCCAACTGGTGCAATTCGTCATATGCATCATAATGGTCTCTGTGGGACTTTACATTGTTGCTTCATTTGGCTCATGTATTCAGCAGACCCCGTTTGATGACTGCACTTACACCCAAGCTTCAGGTGCAAAGCATTTTATAGATGATTTCATTATAACCGATTTGTTAACTTTTTGATGATTATGAATTGAAAATAGCATTATTATTAATTAATCAGATTTGAGTGTGACAATTCTTGGAGGAGTGATTGTAATTTGTGGAATGGTACAAGGACTTTTGTCCCTTATAATAGCATTAATATGCTCACAATCTGTCTGTGGAGTGCGATTCATGGTAAGTTTTGTCATAAAAGTGTTATTCAAATAAGACAATATTGTAAAATGTTATAAATTTAATACAGATTTCAGGAGCAACAGTCTACCCATACCCAATTCTTTGAGGTGTTATTTTTGATTATAAGTATTATTTTTTTTACTGGTGCTATTAAATATTTCTTGTGACTGAATGTAATGAAACAATACTTTAAGGTTCAATTTAACATGTAAATAGAACAACACTACTCAATCCAATAGTGTATAGTGTGCAATAATATTGGCGAGCTTCAAGTTTCAACATGAAAATTATGAAACAACCAGGAAATATAAACGTTTGATTGAATGTCCTCCTGCTGACTTAAAAATATATACAAACACTATCAGCAAATTTGTAGTATTATATAATCGTTTGCTGGGCGAACACCCCAACAGGTGACGCGCCCATTGTCACAGAGAGATTGTGATCGGGGAAAGAAAAAAGAGCGTTCGCCAACCAAATTATATAATGATTATATAATACGCATGTATGTCTTATAAAAAATTCAAGTCTTCATTCCAGATAATCATATTGTATTATTCCATTCGATAAGTAAAACTCTTGCGGTATAAGGAATTATGTATATTGTATCAGGTCGTCTGTGTCATAAATTACTCCTTGATTATTTAGTTTCGAAGTCCTTGCAGCCTAAAAAGTAATAATAAATATATAAGACAATTGGTTTTCCAATTTGCTCATTAATTACATACCTTTTTGATAAATCCTCCTCCTTTTCTTTCTTAGTGTCAGCACGTAATGCAGTGCTGGGAATTGCCGCAGACGCAATTTGTGATTGTACATCGAGTCCATATTCGTCGGCAATTTGGTTAATTAAGCTGTCAACTTGTTGTGCAGGTGTGCTTGTAGTAGTTGAAGAACCCATTGCGTCTTCCATCACCTGTAAGTTGGGGACAAATAAAATAAAATAAAACATGCATATATGCGCTTTTAATTTTAGAAAATATAAACAAAATCAACTAGACTGAAATAATGCAGTTAAAGTATATACAAATATCTACATATCTACATAAGACTTACAGAAATTCTGACATCCGAGTCTTCTACTTGACTTTCAAACTGATCCATAATTTTTGAAACCTTTTCCAAGTCCATAGCCTTCATAGCTTTTTCAAGGCCCTTTACAACGGTCTGCATATTATGCGCCACCTGAAAAATGCAAAAATGCCCAATATAAAAGTTGCAGTTGTCCAAAATGCAAATACATCCTCCTGTTACTCAGAAAATGCACAAATTACTAACCGCCTTCATTGTAACTGCTGACTGTACTTTGCACCGGACAGCGTCAACCTTGGACGACATTCTGAGGTAGTTGAGACCTAATTCAGGAGTAAATCCAAAACTGTTATGCGAGAGAAACTTGAACCAAGCCATTTTAGTCAATGGAAATTTGTATTCATCAAGATAACTCACCTTCATTTTTCTTTCGAATAGCATTTTCTGCATATATCCTTGCACCCTCGATGTTTCCTTGTTGGAGAGCTTTTTTAACTTTTGCTTTCTGAGCAGCTTCTTCCTTCTCTGCCTTTTTAGATAATTTTTCAAGTTGCTTAGCCGTAAAACGGAGTTGGAAGAGCGTATCTATTAACCATCAGTTCACAGTAATTAATAAACTTCATGGGTTCATTTTTAACAAAATATGTAAATAAGATGAATTACCGTCCATTGTACAATTTCCCTCAATTCCACAAAATCCCCTCAAGATGAACTGGTCTTGAAATAATTACCTGTCACCTGTCGAAAATAAAATATTATATCCCTCATGATTGAAATTATTTAAGGACATTTGAAGTTTAAATATGTGTACAACATTATTTTTTGTATACTTTGTGCATTAAAGATTTATTTTACCTAAAGTAACACTGAACTTAATTGAAATCAAGCAAGGCACAAGATTTTTGAGAATTGCGAAGAAATGCACAATTTGTGCAAAGCGAATAAATAATTCGTAACTTGGTGAATTAACTTACTCCTTTCAACACAATGAAGGGTGACTAATAATTCACGCCGTGACTTTGTTATCTCGTGTGGGATGAAGAATTTTTTGTAACTGAACTATGCAAAAGAGTGACGAATTCAACTGTGATTACCTCATCAGTTCAGCAGCCGTTGGTTTGTTTATTTACTGGGCGAGTTGCAGCCACCGCTTTCCAACTTCCCCAACACCAGATTTCCCCAGCGTCAGATTTGCTCATGCACACACAACTTTCTCCGTATGCTGTGCAGCAAAATTAACTGACAAGAATTTTTACAGAAAACACGAGGAAAATACAATGACATGCGACTATAGGAAGTACCATTGTTGTAAATCAGCAATATAGTGTAAGCATGCAGGATCAATGCTGTCGTATAAATTTGTTTTTCTTCTCGTGATGTTGGTAATCCGTTGCATGCCAGAAATTGGACGAAGAGACCTTGTGCTTACTTCTGAACTATTCTCCAGAACTGATGTTGCACGCCAAGAACGAGTAAATTAGATGGCATTGTGCCAAAAACCATAACTGACTATTATAAAAAAGAGGACCGACTTAGTTCTTAATAAACTGAAATGCAATCTGAAATGAATGATGCAAAGTTATAATAGGTTGGTCAGTGCAATTGAAATTGACTGCTCTACTTTAAGGCACACCTTTCCTTTTCATAGAATATCACAATAGTTTTCGGTATATGAGCAACCTTTTAATGCGAATTAAGTGGTGAACCAATCCCGTGAGTGAAAGTGAAGAAATATTAGTCTAAAAGTCTATACAAACTTCAAATGTATGGAGTCACCACTCAAATACTTTTTAAGATAGAAACAAATTCCCAAATATCAAATGAAACAATCCCCAAAACAAATTGCATTTTGAATGTTAGTGTTGCTTATGTCAGTTCAGGCAACACGTTTAGGGGACGCTTGCATACGACCAAATGTTACGTGCATATGAAAGTAAAGCAGTACATCGTCAGGGAGAAAGCACTTTATGTCGTGATGGGTAGTAGATAGGGCAGTGAACCGTATTTGACGAAAATGTCTGTTGTTCTTTGAATATGTCATTCATGTGATGATCCGAGATAAGCGAGTGAAAGCGACACGTCCCTCGTTCTCGATAGTCCATACACATAATGCCCATAGTTCAAAACATTAATGGGATGAACATGTTGTATGCAGCTGGACTCAGTCCCTCGAGTCGTATAAATTGAGAAACACTGACAACAGGAATAACTAAAACGTGTCAAACTCAAACATGAATGTGTACATATTTCTGTTTCCCTCGCCTGTGCCTTCTATTCATGTCGATATAACGTTGTCCATGGAATTAAATGTGCTGACTTTTGTTTTGCATTGTAAACTTTCACCTACATTTTTAGCTGGCTGGTGGCTCACCAACTCATCCAAGTTGGATGATCCAACTTATTGCGTATCTACTTTCAGTCAAAATTTGATGATACTCTTGTGGAGAAGAATATTATCAACTGCACGTTGTCTTCCTAAATTGACTCGACTTTCCCATTTTATCTGCCAGCCATGTGAGAGCTTTTCAAGAGCTTTTCAAATGTCCATTTATTCTGACAATTCGCACACTAATTTAACTAGGTCTAAGTATAAGTGGCGTAATACAAAATAATGGCAAGTGCGTTTTTACTGGTTTATTATGCCTTGAGGTCTACAATAGTGGTTACATATATCTAAGTACATATGCGGTTATTTTACAACACATTGGCCGAAACAACAAGCTAGCACAATGAAAATCAATAGGGCACCTTCACTGCTGTCATTTTACGAGGTGATGCGATATAATGTGAGATAATGTTCACGGATCAACTTTCACTTTGACTTAACTACCTATGCAAGCAAGCAGTCGGAAAGAATTTATCACATGCAGGTAATTCTATACAAACAAGTATATAGCTTGTTGGCTAGAACGAAACTTGACGATTGAACAGCAAGACTAACGTTCACTTGGCATACGTGAGCACAAACAGAGTATACGTATCATGCAGGAATGAGATTCAATACATTCGGGAAATGCATTATGGTATGGTTTGGTTTCTGGATAACTTATCAATCATTCCAGCACCGATCCATTCTGCTGCTTTACTCATTTAGCTAACACGTCACGTCAACCCCGCATTTCCATATATTTTGTATGTATAAGGTGGTCGGCCCGCAGCTCATATGAAATTCCAGCCATCCCAATCCATTTGTGTGATGAGATGACATCCCAGATATGGACATGGATCATCTTATCTTCTTCTTGCGAGAACGATTTCAGTGATTGACAATAATGGAAGCAAGTAAAAGTTTAATCCTCAGTGAACTAGTTTATTTCCCATTTAAAAACCACAACCAACAAATGTTCAAGAATGGGCCTGGGAGAAATGTGTGTGCTTTCGTGAGTTGATCTCTTCTCGAATGAGGACAATGAGTGATTGATCCTGGCAATGAAATCAGTGGAAATAATCCTCAACTCAATTCCAGCAGGCGTGCGGTTTGTCTTGCATGCACCGAGTTTGAAGGAGATCTTTATGGAGAAAGCTGGAGAGCACAATGTGCAAGACGGAGAGAGAAATGTGAAGAAGATTACACTGACTACTTCAAGCTCCAAGGACTTCCAAGGGCACATATGAAATACAAAAGTAAGCCAAGAAAGTGAATAATATGTGAAGGCGCCATGGTCCCGTGCCTAGTCACACAATGGAGCCATCCGATAAAGACTCTAGCCTTGGTTAAACCCGAGATTTAGATGTGCAATCTGGAAGCTTAAACTTGGTTAGTAGCAGGAAAACACGAACAACTCAGTTATGTCCTCAAGAATTGCAGATTGAAGCGAATTGTTGAGAGCTAGAGCGAATTTATTTTGTCGTGTGATGTGGTGGTGATGTGGATGAATAGAGATTTACGTGCACTACACAAGTTCAACTCAAGATAAGTACGTGTCAGTGAAGCTATGCTGTAAATATACACGTACAGAGAAAAGATTTTTTTGAGAGAGGGAATACTATACATCTTAACTTGGGTGGTGGTGAGATGCACGGAGGAAAGCGCCGAGCGGATGCATGCCGTATAAGTATGCATGCAAGTGTATAAAACCTGCTTGGTTAGTAGCATCCATCTCTACATATATGAAAATATGCAACCTCGTGTCCCGTCACCACTGCACTGCAAGAAGAAGAAGAATGAACCTGTTTTGAGCAAACGGGCCTTTTCCAGGCTGGACTGGTAAACTTTCCGAGGGCAGCGCAGTTTTCCCTTGTCCCGTTATCGGGAGGAGAAAGTTTTTGCCTCCTCTAGGCTGTTTGGCATACTAGTTGGAGTGGAGAAAGTATGGATGGGAGAACATCGCAGCAGCAGAAGAGTGAGTTTTTGGGTATAAGAGGATTTGTGGAGACGGATCCCAGCCGCAGTGATCAGCACGCTACGGGTGTGATTGGATTCACCACCTTTTGGTGTTTCTTTTCCCTTCACCGCAGTACCGGTCAGTCCCTTCCCCAACTTCTCCACCCCCACAATAACCTACAGTAACCCACACCCCAATATCCAGTGTGCCCCATGTGTGCTCTTCCCGTCTTATAAATACTCGTAATTAGTTGACCAACCTACTTCTCCTGCATACAAAGTACTTCGTCTTCGACTCTCTTGAAACCATAATCCGCATTATGAGTTGACCTTATATTTCCTCTCGCTCATTTCCGAATTTATTTCCTTCTTTACTTTTTTCAATCAAAGTTATCCCTCTATTTCCGCTCTTCCCAAGCAGAAGCAGCAGTACAGAGTTTCTTGTATTCAATGTGTCCACTTGTAACAAAGCCTTCCTACATGTCACCCATAACTCACTTTAATTCGTCCGTGCCTCACGATGGGCAATGGCATGAATAGGGTAAGTAAAAAAAACTCGTCGCTTGCATTTTACATGCTTCTGTAGGGCATAGTAGGTAATTAGCCATCATATTTTCACGCTTCACTTGGCGAATGATAAAATCGATGGAGAGGCAGGAATTTAATTTTTGCAGAAAGAGGATTATTATTGGTTCCACGATTCAAATAACTGTTTTATCACTCCCAAAAACGCTTTTGCTGTACGATGTACGTACGTACATGCATGTAATAATCTGCTTGTTTTATATTGAAATCTTACAAGTAAAGTTGGGGATTTGCAAACTATTGGGACGAAATGAAATTTCGCTGTAGGATGGATCAGCAATTAAATTGTAAATTAATTAAATACTATTAAGTGCCAAAAATAGGCCAATATTATATCGGATCTGATGAACGAAGCATGCTTCTGTTAACGATTAAATTATCTTTCAATTACAATCCATCACATTTTTTAGTCAATTACTTGATTTAAGTTACGTGTACATACATACATACACAAATAAACATTTATAATTATTGTGTATCTCAACTTAGACCTTGCGAGAAGTGAGTAAATGAGAAGTAATGAGTTTTAACGATAATTAAAGAACTTAAAAGCATGTACATATTTCTGAGGAGAGAGGGGAATAAGAGGCGAGACGTTTTAGTATTCATTCATGAAGGTTTTAGCACGGTGGTGGCGGATTGGGTTTAATTGGATCAGCAATATTCCCGTGTTGGGAAAAGAGCCAAGCTGCTGACGACTCAACTCCAGGTTCTCATTTCCATTAGCGTTCTTAATCCGAGCGTTGTTAGATGCAGCCCAAGTTTCAACTCTTCGAACAAATGAAGAAACTTTCTCCGTGGGAAACACAATTCAATATTTCTGCAAATGCTGAACTAATGTTGTGCGCAAACATTCAGCATTGGAAATGAAGCACGTTGGCCCATCGCTTGAGTTTTCATCCGCCAAGCCATGTGCTGCATAATAAATAATTTATATTCAGCCAAACTGAACCTCGACTTCTTCTTGTCACCCTTCTTGTAATCCTGCCATTCACCGTTGATAACCCGCCCATCTATCCTACCTAAATTTCCTACCTGAACTGTATGTAGCAAATATCATGTTCAGATATTCGTTGGTTCATTAAGATGACTACTTGACGACTGCCTCATGAATGAAAGCCCTTTATTCTGTTTCTAACGTTAAACATTTTCTTCGATTGCCGCTCGCATTTTACAATGTTTAGTTAGCATTCGGGGTTTAAGACGTCGGAACCCAACCAACTGAATTCAGCTGTCATATGCTATAAGAAGAAATCCTTAGTTGAGGAGTGGAGAAAGTCGAACACTGAAGTTCGCTTGCATGTGGAATAATCTGATGTGGGGTGGTCTGCAATAGATGGAAGTAAATAAGTCTCACTGTTTGTGTTGACGCTGTTGCCAGTCATACCTTGCCTCGCATTGTAATGCATGAGAGGAATTTGGAAACGAGTTCCTTTTCGCTTTCGTAATAGTGGCTGGACTATCGATTTGCTTGGCAATTTTAGGCACGGTGTGTGCCGTAAGAACGGTGTGCTTATAGCAATTTCGCATCTCACCACGGTCGACCTATTTCAGAAGTGTCGTTCGACCTGGTTATTCTGATGAAAGGAATCGCACCGAATAACTGACCGGTTCATGTAAATCAGAATCGGAAAACCCCCTTTCTCGAATAAACAATAAATGCCTAAATTTAGGTCATCTTCTGTAAATGAAAGTGGGTTTTACACAAAATGGAAAAGTTTTGTGAGGGATAAAATAAACGTGACATGTTGAGCGAACTATTGCATAAGTACAAATGTATACACATATTTGCTTCATAATTTTAGATTTAGAGCTTGTTCGTGTTTTACTTTTCATTTTCTCTTATTTTGAAAAATCTAAGCTTAATTAATATGAAAAGGCGTAATGTCTGTTGTTTGGGAGTTTTTATAATTTTATTTAACGCAAGCGTAAGAATAAAGTTCAGCAAAAGACTTCATAAAATATTTAGCTCATAAGTTTCAATTTGCCTAATCTTTGTAAATAATTCCCATAAGTATAATTCACATTAACAACGGATAATGTGAGATATGCATCTGTAACATATATCTACATGGTTTAAAAGAGTCTTACTTGATGGGACCTCTACAAATTCACTAGAGCTAAATTTTAGCAAAATTTTCACACGATCGAAATACGCATTTAAAGAAATAAAAGCCAATGCACTGCCTAAAAAACCTTGCCAATAATGGAAATGTCAAAATGCTGACAAAGGTTATCTATGTACATGGGAGTCAGAAATTGAGAGTGAGAGTTTTCAGTTGGTCGAAGAAATTAAACGGCAAACTCTGTGAAGCGAATAAGCGAAACGAGCAAATTCTGTGGATTGAATGACTGCTGCAATTTATGCCACCGCTTTGCCTGCCCGTGTGCCCTCCTCTGTGGGGACTGTACCATGAATAAAGAATCCCCTTTCCTCTAATGAGCGTTGAATGCGCCAAGAATATTTTATTTGTTTTCTCCAATTTCTTTCTAAATAACATTTAGTTTGTTCATGCTACAAAACTCGGCTCTCAAAAATTTCCTTCCTCAGTAGCCCCATAAATTATTCGTATGTGTGCTTGTAGTTAAATATTCTAGAATACTTGGCGAGTAGAATTTAGGTTTAGATCATCATTTTCATTTCAAGAGCTAATTATGTGTGTCGTATTTCTTGCAGGTACTTCCAGGTACTTATCTAACTTACGTACTAACTTACTTGCTGTAATATATGTACTATATATTTAACATATGTATATTGTACTGTGCCAGGATTATTCGTTGGAAATTATAGGGTAAAAATATGCGATATATAAATGAATATTTTCACTATTTTCACTTCAAAGTATACAATCGAATGTTTTACAGGATTCAAAGGACGCTGGACAGCTTGAGCGTCATAGAATCACGCACATCATTGCGATTCACGATTGTGCCCGTCGATTACATACGGTACGATCAGCTTTTAAGTAATTATTTTTTGTTTAGAAAGTATGAATGAAAAGTGAAACACAATGAGATATTTAGCAAAAGTTAAAAATTCGACTTAATATCTAGTAGTTTGTTGCTAGAAATGAAACAAAATCCAACTTGCAAAATATTTAGGTGATTGCGAAATAAAGCAACCATCCTCAATGCCACTGCAGTGGTGTGGCGCAATGTGAATTGGTAGGTGGTTCTGGGAGACCAAATAATGCGATTGTCAAAGAATAGCGGAAGTATAGAAATATTCTTCGCAATAAATAACGGGTCCTTTTCACCTCTGAAAGGAAAGCATGGCAGAAAGATAAATTCTTCACGGGCAACCGTCAAGTCGGTCGATCCTGTCTGGTTGCCAGTCTCCAGAGTAATCAAAGTGTTGCTGGTATTTTTCATTTTACTGTTTGCTTTGAAAATCTTTTCATTTCTATCGGTATCATGTACGTATGCCGTGCGGCCGTACTCGTACTGATATGCATATAATACTTCCAAATGAAAAACTCTTGCTTTTCCTGACTTGTCAAAAATTTTATTTTTTTAGAAAACCTACATATTCACAATTTCATATTTCCTCCTTCGTCTAGATATAGAGACAGACGAAGAGACGAAGGGAATTTCTGGTGCTCGAGTCTCTCGTCTAATAAAAGTTGATAATTCTGGGAATCTAAAAAATTATTCACGTCATGTATCTTTTTATTTGATACTCAGCTCAGCGCTGTTTTGTATTATATATATTTCATCGCCTTTCCGCTGACAATGTTTTTAAAGTTTTCTTGGGAATGAGTCCTCCAACTTTTTGGGTAATCCCATCCCGATGTAATCTCGAAACTTTTCAAATTTAATAAAATATCTTCTTTCCTTGGCCTTTAATTTTCCGCTATGTACATATCTACATCTAGTGTTATTACCGGTATTACTACATGTACGAGTGGTACCTGTTTTGATGATGTCATACGCAAACTAATACTTCAGCACATACAACAAGAGGCGAACAGTGATAATTAATAAAAAATTAGCCTTTCCCAGACCATATAAATACCTGATCAATTTCTTACTTTCTCACTTGCCAATTATGTAATAATCCTTTATTATGCAAAATTAAAATTTTTGAATTTTTAAAGTTTTAAATTTTATGTCATAATCCTTTATTAGAATTCATATTCTATAATCAGATTTTTAAATGGTAATAATCACGTCCCTAAGAGTAATTGATAATCAATAGATGTATTTGTGCTGAATCTATGCTCTGTTAACAAAATCTGGTAGATTCAAAAACAAGAATTTATTACAAAGAAGGGCTTCTCAGTTATGAAATACAATAAAAGCGGTCCTACATAAGTACACAGCCAAGCACGGGAACAGGACTCAAACCATCCCGTAAATTCTTAGCATTTTAAGAGAACTGCGAACAATACATGTATCGCCAGGACTTGAGCTGATTTCGCTTAAGGTCAGCCGTATAGTCGCAGTATTACAGCCTTTTCCTATTTATATGGATGAAGACTGATAAATTTTGAAGCAGCAGTGATCTCTATTATTCTCAGGAAGAGCTCAGATAAATCCACTCCCAACACAGCAGATACGAAGCATCATAGGTTTATACGTACCACAAGCAAGGAAAGATTTTCGTTTGATCGTCGAGAACGCTTTGGGATGAAACAACCACTCGCTGCTCGGTTATTGAGTGGCACGACTTTCACTCAAAGCATTTCTTGTGCACTCGAAGCACTGTGATTTTCATTTTGATGTGGTTCAGCCCGTAAGATTTGGTCATGGCGAATCAAGGAACATGATGAAAATAAGATATACTTTGTAATTTATTTTAAAGGTCAGTTGAAATAATTCTACTAGATATTTAACTACATGATATGCAATTTATTGTTTAACAGGATAAGGAATATCTTTGCATCACAGCATCTGATACTCCTTCGCAGAATCTCCAACAATTTTTTCCTGGTAAAATAATAGTAGAAAACGTAATAGAGATACACATGTAGATATGCACGTGTGGTGTATAAATAATATTCATTTATTTATATAGCGTGCAATGACTTCATTCACGAAGCGAGGTAAGTATAATTTTATGGAACGCTGAAAATAGAGAATTTGATAGATTTTACAACTTCTAACTAATAATAGGGCCGAAGGTGGGAATGTTCTCATTCATTGGTAAAATATACATTTTATTTCATGCAGCCTTCAACTATAAGTCTCTCTGTGATAACTTTTAATAACTTGCCCTTGAATACAGTTTGGCCGGCATGTCTAGAAGTGTCACGATCGTGGTGGCTTATATTATGAGCATTTCATCGCTTCGGTGGAATGAAGCTCTCAAAGTCGTCAGAGGAGCTCGGTGAGTTAACCAGAAATCCAAGAATGGAAATTAGATTATCTTATTAATAAGTAGGTAGCTAATACATACGCGTTGATGTAGAGGTTTTACGAGATTAGTGCATGCATATGGTGTGTAGTACTAATGTGCAATATCATCTAATTAGCCATCTTTTAATACCCTAGAGCCGTATCCAACCCAAACAGCGGATTTCTAAAGCAGTTGCAAGAATATGATAACACCAAGCTGCTCGACGTAAGTACTAATCACTATGTATAACTCGAATTAAATTAGCTTAATATAAATGCATACGTATGAATACGAACCTCTGAGATTTAAAATCACTTAATTTTATTAATTGGCTGATTCCTTTGTTACACTGATTCAGCTCAATTTGCTTATTTTTTTATCATCTCAGAAATAATAAAGCTCATATTGTTTAGTGTTAAAACATAAAATGCAAAGTTTAATTCTCACTAACTGTGAATACAGGAGCGAAGACGGTTGGTGGACAAATTCCCAGGGACGCCGCAATTCGAACATGACGAAGAGCATTGCAGGAGGCTTTTGATTTCATACGATCATCTTCTTCTTGCCAAAGCAATTTGCGATGGGCGATGCACATCAGCTAGAATTTGTCCCACAGGAACTTGCCGAGCCCATGCATCATCACGGTAAGACGCGGTTGTTGCAGTGCCAAAACTTTCTTTCTCCTCTACCCGCTTGTTCTATGCACGTCTGTATCACTTCATTCCAGTTTATCGCTTTCCTCGCAAAAATATCTACAAAAGGTGTGCACACATGACTCTGACTGAGGAGTTACAGCCTCAGCCAAGAGTGCAGTTGTGGTACTAATATATCTGTAACTTGACAGGACCGGGCTGCTTTCTTTCCCTAGATCTTTCTTTCCTCTTTTTTTTGCTCTGTTTGCCTGTAATTTATGTTCAAATGCTGCAGAAACGGCTCTCCAAGTGACCAGTAAAGATCCTAGTTTTCGGAGCTTTTAGTGAGCAGCGTCTCTTATAACGCTATACACTTTCTCCCGTTCTGTCTCCCTCTTTCTCTTTCTCTCTGCTAAATAATTTCTTCCCACTCCACATTTCTTTTAACTATTACGACTGCATGCCTCTTCCTTTTCTCTCTGTCATAGATTTACCAGGCAAAGATCAGGTGAAAACTCGCCGCGAGGGAGTACCAAGTCATTGGACAGCAGTGGAAACGAACCACCGTCTTCCCCCCGGAACTGGGAACGACATTATGGTTGCTGGAAAAATCATGTTCGTAATCAACCAGGCTCCACATCCACACCTGCCAGCCCAATACTCTACAGGACTTCAAAGTCCCAATCTCGAAGGAGTGATTCCATGTTATCAATTTCTTCCGTATCTTCCATTACGTCGTTGCCAGGCCAGATTTCATTGGAGAAAGACTCACCTCGCATTAGGCCGGATCGGAAGGATGCCCTCCTTTCCACCCAGTCCTGCCCCAACTCTCCACGACGAATGCCGAGAAAGCCTGGAGCAGCACTGCTGGTAACTCAGTCTCAACTTGGATCCCTTGGGTCTGGAGTGTCTCCAATTGATGTAGCAAGACTGCTCGCAGCTAAAGACAAACGGACAGAAGACACTCTTGCTGTTCCTTTGCCGTCTTCTTCTTCTTCTTCTGCTACGCCTTCCTGTCCTGATCCTGCTACGTCCACATCGTCCTTGACAGAAGTGTCAAAAAATAACACTGTTGGAGAATCGAGTGCCAGCAGCAGTAGAACTGCGACAAGTTGGGGGACCCCACCACCAACAAGTAGTCCGTGCCATCGATTTATAGCTCATAACAACGCTCATGCTGCTGGAGTTCCAGCTCCGACCACCACTGCAAGAAATACCATACACGATCGTGCACGTGGTATAACTCGCTGGGTTATGAAGAGGAGTGCCTATAAATTTTCCTTTGATAAGTCGTCGTAAGGACTGCACAACAATCATTTAAGGTGTTACGTATATTTATTAACAACCCACTTTCGAGTAATTTCGTGGCCTACACACATTTCTGCTCTCTCACCCGTCGCATCATTATGTGCATATTTACATACATGGTACTACATATATAGGAATGAACGCATATATATGGATATTCATTCATAGGAACCTGTCCAAACTTTATACCTTCCAATAATAGTCACTGTGAAAGCTTACAAACTTGCATCACGGTGCATACGTATAGTTGAAATGCTTCGGAACCAATATAAGGAAAACGCTTATCAATTTCTCATAAAATATGAGCAATTGCACACTCATGCTAAAGTACTTATAACGTAGCGGCCGTGAGTGGTGGACCCAATTTTCTGTTGTTATCATGACACCTAATACTACATACATACATGCATACCATGCTTATAGAAAGAAGAGATTCAAATGTTTCAGAGTTATCATGGGAAACATGACTGCAGTGAAATTTGCTATAATTCAGAGATTCAGACACATCGCTACATTCGCATGATTACATATTCATTACACATATTACACATTTATCAGCATACTCGGAGACATCGCCCTTGCAGATTTACGACCATCTAACTAGATTATTCTTTGTTTAAGGAATTAGAGGAAATCGCGTTTATTTGAACCTCGCGTTTATTGTGTGCGTGTATGTGCACAGATCCATAAGCGATCACTTTTCACGAAGGTTCTTAAGTTGGGCATAAACGATGTATGAGCATGCGGGATTATAACACTAGTACATACAATCGAAATTTTATTAAGAGCAATTCACTAAAATTGAACCAACTGGAAAACTGGAGCAAGTCTCTCCTGTCATTTTTTATGCGTGAGAAATACATGAAAAGCAAAGTATTGTGTTGACTCGGGTCACTAACATATAAGGAATATTTCATAGCCTCCGTGATTAATGGGAGACCAAGTGATTTGCTGATTTTTTTGACGCGTTGTTATTAACGAGTTTCGCATCACCAAGATAAATGCTGGTCATTAAAGGTGCTGGTCGTTGTTGAACGATAGAAAGGTTTATGCCTTATCTTACCTTATCAGAAATGCAAGGTACCTGCAACTAGGTGCCCTGGTGTTTGCAATAAATGGGCGTTTGTACATAATAAATGTCACGTCACGACTTAAAATGGTGCTACTTTACTAATTTTACTCATCATCATTGGCATTAATATTGGTCAGCCTACAATGATTTAAAATTGCCATTGTGATTATATAATGCAAGTGTAGACATCTACAAATACAATAAAAATCGTTAACCTATAGCGAAAAGCCAATAATTAGATACATAAATGTACATACCTACATATATCTACATGTCCCCCGTACATAACGATGATAATCGAACTTGACAATTATGGGCAAGTCAGGAATGAATTGAGAAGTATAATTTCTGTAAGTTGATATGCTTATATTAAGAAAACTAAGGTGAAAAAGACAATGCCCGAAATGCATAAGTAATGATAATTCTGCGTGCGAGTTATAATGACGAGTATGCACTTTCTCCACTCCCTGAGGATGAGAACTGTAAGCACAAATACTAAAATTAAATGTGCTGATACCTTCGTCATTTTCACTTTGTTTATTCAGTAAAATGCTTTTGTAAATGCGTGCATCAATTGCGCAGTCTTTTACTTTGAATCTTACTCCCCTGTAATCTGACTACATGTTATGCTATTTTTTATATTCTTGATCAATGAACTTAATTTGCATAATGAAATGATTAATTTTAAAATATTGATTATGCTTTGATCCTAAAATGGAAATGCGTCATTGGTATTTGTAATGCGTTAATGAAATGACATGGAAAGGACCATATGAACATTAAATAATTGTGAACTCGACTGTAGTGGAGCAATCATTTAGATAAGTACGCTACGCTTTCATGAAGTAATAAAAGTTTATGGACATATTTATAATTAAGTACATACATATATGCAATTGTATTACGAATGTGATGAAAGATTTTGAAATTAAATTTGAATACCACTGTACATTCAATAGAAATAAAGATATAGCTTTCATTTGCGAGTGCATAAATTATCATAAGCTCTGTAATGTATTTATTGAATCTCGACACTTTTCACTTTCCTGTCGAGTATGATTTTGTTTGTGTGTCGTTTAATTGTACTTACAGGTTTGTAATAACGTTCAAAATGCAGGACTGGAAATTAAAACACGAAAAATACCACACCCATTGGAATAAATAGGACTTGTGTTTTGTGTAAGCAACATTGCAGAGCTGGAGAAAAGCTGTTCTGATTGCGACAGAATCGGGCCGCGAACACGCTTTCTTTTGCCAACTCCACTCCATCCATGCAATTTCATCATGTGTTTGTTTTTTGTTTAATTGTTGACTGAGGAGGTTTGTCAACTAACTAAAATTGCTACTATTTATTTTGCTTGATTCGGTACCGTTGGTTTAGTAAGTGTCACAATGGTGATTGCGATCGGATTAGAAGGTAGTGCAAACAAGTTGGGGATTGGTATTATCAAGGATGGCCAAGTTTTATCAAATCCGCGAGTAACTTACATTACACCTCCAGGAGAAGGTTCGTATTCACACAGGGTTGATTTATATAGAATAAGTATTTAAGTTAGTACGTTATTAATACTTGCCCTTCATGTTTTACTCATTTATTGTTATATCTTTTCAGGGTTTCTTCCGAGTGAAACTGCACGTCACCACCAAGCTGAAATTATTAATTTACTAGAAAAGTCGATAAAGGAAGCTAAGGTATTAGACATAATAATAATTTAGCAATATACTGCTGAAGTAACAATTTGATTGTCATACTTGTTTATTGACAGGTGAGACCTGAGGAGATTGACGTTATATGCTATACAAAAGGCCCGGGGATGGGAGCGCCCTTAGTCTCCGTAGCAGTAGTGGCTCGAACAATTGCTCAGTTGTGGAAAAAACCAATTGTCGGAGTTAATCACTGCATAGGACGTGAGTTGTTGTGATTATTCGTAACATGAAGATTTATTTAACATGGTATTATCCAACTTTAAAGAAAAAACTTGCGAGTTCATAATAACAATTTCTTCATTTGTGTAGTGGTAAATTCGGGGGGATAATTGCGTCACAGCACGTACTTGTTTATTATGTTGAGAGTGCAACAATTGTCTAAAAACTCACATGAATATCGTTTCCAAAAAGTTAACTTGCGATTTTCTAGATGCTCTCCTCCTTAACTCGCTCTCCTTCGCCAATCTCGTAATCTCTTCAGCATTCTTCTTCCCCAGATGCATGATAAGTGAGCAGAGTGGTCCTTGTTGTTTGATAAGCGTATACGGATCACCATAGTCTACAACACGACCTGACTCGATAACCATGATCTTGTTACAGTACATGACTATAATAATACAGAGCAGAAAAGCATGTGGATTAAATAATGTCCCAAAATATTACTTGTTTAGACGATATCTTATGAATTACGGGATTGTAGACGATGCGCTATTGTCAAAACTGTGCAGTTTGAAAATTTGTCTTTAATTTTCTTTTGAATCAGCTTTTGTGATTGTGGATCCAAGTTATTCATAGCGTGGTCCAAACATAATATCTGATTTTTCTGTAAAAGAACTCTGGCTAAACCTAAAAGTTGAGCTTGTCCAGGGCTCAGTTGCCATCCAGCCTCGTTGAAGTAAGTGTCCAACCCAGCGTCCATTGTTTTAACGGTGTCAAACAGACTCACTTCATCCAAAACGTTCCAAATCTCATGGTCAGGGTAATCTCCGAGCGGGTCAAGGTTCATTCTCAAAGTTCCAGTAAAAACATAAGGAACTTGAGGAATTATTGAGATTTTTCGTCGTAAATCGTGCAGACCAACGTCTTGAATATCGATATCATCAATTAACACTTGCCCTTGGCTAGGTTCAGTAATACGATAGAGTGTATTTATTAGTGTGGTCTTTCCCGATCCTGAATAAAATTTAGATGAAAGTAATTAATGCAATGTTTGTTTCTACACATTCCTCGCCTGCCAAATATGCATAAACTGATCTGACCTGATCGCCCAACAATTCCAATTTTCTCTCCTGCAGGAATGTCCACATTGATGTCAGCTAACAATACTTTATCTCCATGTCCAGTTACTGTTACGTTATTGAAAACTATGCTGCCATGAAGTGGCCAATAAGGGGGTGGCTGATGCTCTCTTTTCTCCCAGTCGTCCTCGGTTGCATCTTGCGAATAGTCCAGGATCCTAAACAGAGCTTCATATTTACACGATTTCCGACAAGTTAAAAAGTTGGTGAAACAAATATTACCTTTCAACGGAAATCATTTCAGTCTCAGAATCCGCCGTGTCAGAGACTACCATTTGCATGAGTATTGAGAGCTCGATTACTTTTCCAATTGCGAGTCCTACTTCTGACGAATTTGCATTTTGAGGTTCTCCAAAAACGTAAATCATTGTGATTGCTGCAACGAGCAAAAGCGCCAACGAGTCCACCACAATGGATAGCCATGTGTTCAAGGAGGTGTACAGGTACCATGCAGAGGTATGATGGTCTTGTAAGTCTTCAAAAATTTTGAGAAATATTCGCTCTTGTTCAAATGAGCGGATGGTTGATAGTCCTTCCAGTGTTTTTGCAGTGTGCGCGTATATTGGACTTCTTGCGTTTGCTTCCAGGCGTTTTAGCGTTGCAGCATTCTTGTGGTAGACATGATACACAATGCAGACCATTACCAGAAATATACCAGATGGGATTGCTGCCCAGTAAAGCGTCCAGCATAAAATGATGATTGTCCCAAGGATTTCAAAAAACACTCCCGTGATTTCATATAAAGTAGTTGGAAGAAGCTCGTCAATGACGAGCATATCTTTCGAAAATCGATTAATGCCATGCCCTGCACAACTGGATTCATAGAATTTTGCCTTTGCATGTAGTAAACTGTTAAGAAGTTGGCAAAATAGAGTGAATGAGGCATTCATGCAAATTTGAAACATTGCAACACTTCGTAAAATGCTGAGTACGACCAGACTTGGTATAAGAATGCAGTAGGTTATAATTTCACGTTCTCTGTCCTCTTTGTCCTTGTCGGGGAGCGTTCCTTGAATAACTTTCTTGGCCCGGTCTTCTTCGTGATGTGTCCATACTTCCAAAACTATTTCTGAAGCACTGTAGAGGACTTGAACTAGGCAGCATAGAATGAACAAATACGCAATGAGATACCAAGTGGAACTTGCTCGCAGATAAGACCAGAAGAGTCTAATTCCAATTTTATCTGTTTCGATGGTTGTATCGGCGTCTTCAATTTCTTTGATTGCAATTGCACTTTTTCCTTTGTGGACGAGTGACATTTGCAGATCTTGATCAGGGTCTCCCATTGGAACATGCTCTCTAACAATCAGCGTATTCGTTAAAATGTCTTGTTCAATGGCTACAAACGAGTTTCTTTTTCCTTTTTCTGGCTGAAATATTTCGTAGTGTTAGAAATGTGATGAGAAATGGGTACAAATCTGTACACATTATAAAATTGCATTTTAAAGTTATCCATGGTTTAGCTAACTTGAATTTCGAGGTGGTCATCATCATCTACTTCTCCCTCCTCCTCCCCTCCTTCAATCTCTTTTGAAAATGTAATTCCAAGATCAAGCAGCTCTTTGTATGTTCCTTTGGCTATCAGTTTTCCTTCCAGAAGAATGGCAATGTCATCCGCAGCCTCAAGAAAGTGGAGTTGATGTGTTACGAGCAGAACCGCCTTGTTTTTTAAAGCCCCCCTAATACACTTTTCCAAAATGTGGCGTTGCAGGCGAACATCAATGCAACTTAGTGGATCGTCCATGAGATAAATGTCACAGTTTGAATATACAGCTCGGGCCAAGCTTATTCGTGCCTTCTGGCCAACGCTAAGAACGGCTCGTACAACTTTAGTTTGATCACCGTCTTCCATGTTGTCAAAGTCCGCTTTCAGCCCACACATTTCCATCACAGAGATGTACCATTCTTGGTTATATTCTCGTCCAAATACAATGTTTTGACGGATAGTACCGGGGAAAAGCCACGGTGATTGAGGAATGTACGCGATTTTTCCTTGGACTGTTATCTTTCCACTGACAATAGGAAGTTCTCCTAAAATTGCAGCAAGACACGATGACTTTCCTGAACCCGTCGGCCCCACAATTGCAAGCATTTTCCCCTCAGTTATATCGAGATTAATGTTGTTCAATGTCATGCTGTCTTGGTCGTAATGCCATTTGCACTGGACTTGCTCCATGTAAATTCCATTAAGGGGTGTGTCCACCGTCACGTTCGCGGGGTCAATGCTGTAGGCGTCGTACAACTCGGGGTTCTCGTATTTCTCTTCTAAAAGCAGGAATTCTGTCATTCGTTTCGCCGTTACCGAGACTTCTGCAAAATCAACAGCTCCGCGCGTGAAGAGGTGTGCCAAGTTGATTCGGACGTGCTCATACAATAAAAGAGTAATGAAAACTCTGCGGGCATCCAATGGTGTCTCATCCATGTAAATGTACAGTAGTATAGTTAGGAAGCCCGTCATTTTCGTGAGAATGAGAGAAAAGGAGGCGTTCAGAATTCGAAGAATCATTGTAGTTTTCACATACTTGAGTTCAACGCGACGACTTTCCTTGGCTCTCGCAAAGAAGGCATTTTCCCAAGCGTATAATTTAATGTTATAAAAGGCGTCCAAAATTTCCGTGATGATTCTCAGTCTTTTGTTTGTGGCTGCAATTTTGTTTTTTCGTACCCGCACCACATATATTCCCATGATGTACTGGAAAAATACGAATATTCCGAGCAGGCCCAAGCCACTGAGTGAGGGGAATCCAAATTCATAATGGTAGTAGAGCAGATAAATGACCACGCCAAGTTGAATTGGGGCAATCCATAGGTAGTTGAGGTGAAGATCTTGCATGTCGAGTCGATACACATCAGTTGAAAGCATGGTGATGAGTTGTCCCACACTGAAACTTCGCATAGTTGCTTGACTAAAAGTAAGCAGTGAAATACAATTTTAAATCAATATCCGTGATGACACCATTAATGTCTACTCTGTTATATGTACGTATTTATAACCAGAACTGCAGTACTAGTACCTATTTGTACATACCTCAGACGCAAGGTCTTTCGATAGATGAGAGACGACATTCCGAGTCGCATGTGTGTACAAATATGGTGTGTATTAAACATTGACCAGTGGAACGATAGAAAAAAGCAAAAGGAACCCAGAATTACTCCACCTAGTCAATATTCAAATTGTAAAATTTTTCATTCATTTCGAACAACCTTTTGGAGTTTTACTTGTTTTATTGGTGTTACCTGCTGCAAGATACGCCATGGATTTGCTATGACTCTTGTGACCGCTTGTGGTAAAGTATTCGATAATGACTCCCAATGATATTACTTGGATAACTCGGTATACGCATTCCTCCAGCATTGAAAAAAATCCATAGAACAAAAACCTTTTGGCATAAGTGACAAACAGGACCCATCGGAAACTTGGTTTCGTGTTTCGCTCGACACATTTTGTCAAGTGTTGGACCCAATTTTGTTCTAATAAGTTTCCATGAATAGCTGCATGGTCCCCCTGCAGGACCGGGTAGATATCCTCTTCTCGCAATTCACGTTTCAGTCCTATGCCAATTATTTTCCTCAGCCACCAAAATAATAAAACAGACGCGCAACTTGCATGTTCGCGTGGAGAAGTTCTCATTTTATAGGCTCAACATTTGTATCGTGAGAGAGTTTAATACAAATTATGGTCTGGTGCAGATAAAGCGTTTCAGTTTCATTCCAGTTAGATTGTTTTTGAAGTATTAATTTTACCGTGTTGTTGTTTGAGGTTGAGGGCTTTTGACTTCAATGATAACCTATGGTTACATGCTCAAATTTGCTGAATTTTCATCAACATTTTGGTTTTCATCTGTTCCTCAAGCGAACATTGTTTATGTTTATTGAATAGTGGACTATTTTGCACTTTTCAATTTTAACAATAATTATTGAAATAATTTATTATTTTCACTTTATTTCAACCAATGTCTTAAATGTATTAAACCAAGGTCCAAGTTGACAATTGGACATGAAAAGTCATGGAAGCATGCACTTTTCCCGATGAAATCTAGTTGTTTAATTTCATATGGATTATGGTTTTGTGTTAATGGGTATAATTTCATTAATATGTACGTGTGTTTAGTTTGAATAAAATATAAAATTTAGTGATCTTGTATTAATTTGTATTAATGCTATGTAGTTAGCTGTGTTTTTCATGCTTCGTTAATTGTTACATTGCTGTGTATCTGCATATGTTGTTTCATTTCAGATATCGAAATGGGACGTCATATAACAGGTGCTAAGGACCCCACAGTTTTATACGTCAGTGGAGGCAATACACAAATCATTGCATATTCTCAAAAACGGTATCGGATTTTTGGGGAGACGATTGATATAGCGGTTGGAAATTGTTTAGATCGGTTTGCAAGAATTTTAAAGCTATCAAACGACCCTAGCCCTGGCTATAATATTGAGCAGTTGGCCAAGAGGTGTGTTACATTATCATTACGAGCCGATTGATATTTATGAGCATTTAACGAATACTTTTCACTTTTAGGGGAAAAAAATTACTAGCTCTACCATATGTCGTTAAAGGCATGGACGTTTCATTTTCCGGATTATTGTCATTCATTGAGGAGAAGGCAGAAACTTTGAAAAGAGAATACACTCCTGAAGACTTATGTTTCAGCCTCCAAGAAGCTGTATTTGCAATGCTTGTCGAAACAACGGGTAAGAATTTTCTTAAGCAAACTTTATTGATGAATCATAATGCATGCTTAATTACAGATCCTGTTGTGCTAAATATTTTTTTAGAACGAGCTATGGCACATACTGGGTCGCAGGAAGTTTTAATCGTTGGGGGAGTTGGCTGCAACGAAAGACTTCAAGAAATGATGAACCGAATGTGCGAAGAGAGGCAGGCAAAACTATTTGCAACTGACGAACGATTTTGCATAGACAACGGCGCCATGATTGCTCAAGCTGGAAGTGAAATGTACAGTGCAGGAATGGTTACTTCCCCATGGGAAGAAACATTTTGTACTCAAAGGTGAAACTTAGATTCTTTATGACAAAATGAATACATTAATTTTGCAAATAATATTTAATACTTTAATATTCATTTGTAATAGGTATCGAACTGACGAAGTTGAAGTGGTTTGGAGAAATGACTGAAGAAATAAGCTTGAGTTCTGTATTGACACATTTAATAAGAGTTATTTTATATTTTTGGTCCCCTCAAGTTGTATTTATTACATGTTGAACATTGTAACTTGAGGGGAGTATACAAGTTTTCAATAAATTACGTGGGCAGTACGTTGTGAGCAAATGCATATATTTATGATTATATGTGGTTGAAATATGTCGGGTAGTATTGATTCCTTTCATATAATGCCATGTCGTGAACAACAAACCGTTGTCATGAAATGCTCAACGCCACCTGAATATGCCATCATCATATTTGTACTGCATTTGTAGTCGCCTTACCCGAGTCAAAGCAATCGATAATTTGTTCAGTTCACAGAAAGTATATTTTACCGATTTGGCCGCTCATTTAATTTTACTTTACCTATACTTCTTTTTTATCAGTTTGGATAATGTCATTGTTTACCTTCAAAGAGCTCTGGGCTGTAGAATGTGGTGATGGGCATAACGAGTTTACTTCCGGGTCGCTAGTATGGTCAAATTTCGACAATTCACCTGATGGATCCGTTAAATTTGCGTTAGGAAGTTTGACTGGGATCCTTCGAATTATCGGCCACACGTCATACGAAGATATTCATGATACCACCGTGTCTATATTAGCTGAGGTGAATCTTGGATATCCCATTTTGCAGATTGAATCGGATGTGTTTATTGGGTAATTGATCATCGCTTCTTATATTTCACATTTCTCCAAAACTTGTACTAAATAATGGGTCTGGATGTTCAATTAATTATTATTCTATTGCATACATTTATCTGTGAAGCGGATCTGATGACATCAATTTGGCTATACTCCACCCATTCAAACTGGCCGTTTATGGGGTTTCCAAGCTTGCCGGACAAGTAGAGCATGGGTCACAATATAAAGTGACTCTTCTGTATGAACATATACTCAAACGACACGCTTTTAAGTATGAATTTACTAAATAATGCTAAACTAGTCCGTCCGAAGGGCCACAGTTTTAATTTTGTTTCTTAATTATGAAGTATGTGTTGTGGACCTTTTGGACACGGTACATCATTCGCAAAAACCAATAAAGATCGTCCGAGTAAGAGCAAGCGTAGGTTCATTTGTGTTCAGTCTTTGGATGGAACCCTTTCGTTTTTTGAGCAGGAATTATTCACGGTATTTATAAAAATTTATAATTATGGAGCATCTGTATCTATTAAAAATTAATATGTATGTATGTCAGAACAAACTAGCACAAGTTAATGCACATAAGTATGCACAAGAAATTGGTATTTATGCAAAGTACATGCATACTTTTTTAAATTTGGAAATGTTCATTACACAAATTAATGTTTATTAAATTTCAATATTCTTGATTAGTTCTGCCGATATCTTCCGGGATTCCTCCTACCGGGCCCCCTTGCGTATGTCCCTGCTTGGGACTCTTTTATTACAGGTATTGCTTACTCGCGTGTCATACATATTTCTTAATATTTTTTTCATTTTCTCCATGTTTATAATAATTATGTCTCTAAAAATACGTCTCATCTACACAAGTATGCGTAGTATAACTTATTGTTTACTTAATTTAACAAGCCTCATGGAACGTTGTGTGCTTCAAATATACAAGTCTCGCAATGTCTAAAGACGATCAGCAACAATCGCAGGATACGAGTGTTGGGAAACGTCTGACCCCAGACTGGTCATTTTGCATCGGAGAAGAGTGTATTGGTGATATCAAGGTTTTGTCCACGGATGACCCTGCCACGAGTTGTGTCGTTGTTTGTTCTTTTCGTAACATAATGTGTTTTGGAGATGGCGGAATTCTTATTTGGACCAAGAGACTCGACTTTCAAATTAGCTATTTCCATTCGTTTTTAGGTAAATCAGTTTATTGTAAATTTTATCACTGATGAATCATGAATGAACTATTTCTTATAGTGCCAATATCACCTAATGAGCATGAGTGCATTACCATTGCTGGTTCCAGTAACGAGCCCTATAATTGTTACGTGTACAGTGGAACAATGCTGAGATGGGCAGCACGACTTCCCTTCGCCCCGATTCATATAGACAGAGTTTTCAATTACAAGGTAATTGCAGTCAGTATACCATTTTTTCAATCACTGCAAGATATTGAATGAATATATTGAATAAATGTACTTATTTACCTAACTGGATTATGTATTTATAGAATATAAATGGTGCAATATTAGCAATGAGTGAAAGAGGCACTGTGGTAATTAATCCTGCATTGTACACTTTCACCTCATAATAACGATTTCATAATAATTTAATGTAATCAATTAAATTAAGATCCTCGGATTTATTGGAACTGTTCCATCACTGTTTGTGGCCCCTCCAGTTCAGTCAAGGGACTTGGATTACGAAGCTGCAGAAAAAGAATTGAATGACTTGAGGAGAGCAATCACTGCTGCCGGAGATCAGGGTATCCTCTATCAATGTTTTTTTACCCGAATCAATAACATTTGCTAGAATGTTATTACAATACTCGGTATTCTTTATATGACTGATTGTGGGAATGTTATTGCAGAAGTATCCGCAAGCAAGGACAGCACGGTGGAAATCAAACTAGAGTTTGAGGGACAGAAAACAAAATGGATAGAGACAAATGGGCTAGAAGTTATGTCCTTAATTGGGGTTGTAAAACTGATGTGCCATCTTAAGGTTAACGATGTCAGGGTCACATTTAGTACACCCAAACCAATAATTTGTTCACCAGATTCTGTCTTAATTGGGGATATTAGTAAGTTGAAATTTTACATATAACTGTTGCAAATCTTTTTTCTAGTCCAATCTTTTTTTAACACGGGAATGGCTTTTAGTTGGGAGACATTCATACCCAGTCGAATTTTACGTGGAAAACGAAATTGTTCCCTCCGATCTGCAGTGCGACGTGTTTGTTTTTTACATCAGCGACAATGGATCACCACATTTTGTACAGAAATGTGGAATTCGCATTCCCCTTTTCATAGTTGCAAAACCTCATCACAAGTTGGAAAAGGATGGAAATGTGAAAATTACATTTTCAGTGAATAAGCCAGTTGTTAACTTGCTGTCCTTGTATAATGGTATGCAGACTATTATTAAATTTAGCATATTATTATTTTTCGTTAATTATTATACATGCATACCTATATGCTCGTACTTATGACAGTACTTGAGTTGATTATCAATTGCTAATATGCTTTCAGACTTTAATTGGAGTATCGACGGGGCTGCTCCTGGAATAAGTTTCATGTTTCAATGTGGGGAAATTGCTTCCTTGCTGTCATCAACAAAAAATGCATCGTCCGAAACCTCTAAATACAGAATTCAAGCCCACACCTTGGCCATAATCTACGTCATATTTCGAGACTTTATCGACAGGCTTAATAGAAAATTGGGAAGAGACAAGACTGAGTTGGTAATTGAGCCGTTGGGTCTGGACGAAGAAATGTCTTTGCTAACTGATTATTTCCAAGAAATTGATGCCCATGCTGTTCAACGCCAGAGAGACGCTCAAATTCAAGTAAAACTATATATACGTATATCTCATACACATATCCGTATTCAGTCGATGGCAGATAATTATTTTTTATTTATCACTCCTCTCTCACGCACATCTAAATTTGACTGTTTCTTTATAGGATGAAATTTCAAATCGGGCTGCGCAACTTCGTGCAATTCAAAGACGGTACGGAACATTTGTTAGCTCGCTTAAGCGAGACGAATCTGAATTTAGATGTAAATTCATCCAATATATTTATTTTTGACATTTATGTAGATATGATGAATTATTTTGGTATTTATTATTCTAAATTGACTAAAACAAAGCATATCTATTAAATTCATTAGATTGCTCATCAGATTCCGGGACAAGAACCCACTTCCCCTGACTCAACTTGAAATCTTGTTTGAAGGTTCTTTAGATCAAGTTGGAGACTGTCTAAACTTTATTGAAGGCAATGATGTGGTAAAAATAATTCAATTTCGTAAACAAAAATGTCTAAAAACTTGTTGAGGTATAATGAAAAACATTTCCACCAGGAGATGCAAAAAACAGAAACAAAATTGAGTGGGGCGACGAAGCTGTTGATAGAATTAATAAAGTTAAAGCATAAAAATGCAGACAGCGTCTCTTTGTTGCTCAACGGTTTAAGTCCTGATGTCTGGAACTTTTCCGATGAATATGGATGGGAAGAAAGTGTTTACACAAGTTTGACTTTCATCAAGAGCGGAGTAGTTGTTAATCAGTCATTGGCTAATCTGGATTTATCCAAATTGAAACGAGTCATCAAATCTTCGGTGGAAAAAGCATGGAAAGAAGCATTTTCAAAACAACTATCGCTACCTGAGGTGTTATCAAAGCCTTCTGTAGTTGAGCCCGAAAAGTTGGTTGGAAATGAAATTCAGGAAAGGATGACTTCAGCTAGAGCAAGGACGTCTAGGAAAAGAGGGCAAAGCATGTTAGCCTCGATACCTGAACCCCATGAACCCGGTGAAAATGAATACAAATTTTATGTGGGACTGGAATGAATTTTTATGCTTTAAAAGTATCTGACTAATTTATTTCTCTTGTTTTTGTAGAGGATAATAATATCTCAGAACTAGAGAAAATTATTGAGACGGCAGAAGTTCACACAGAAAATACCATCTCAAATTTGCATAATCTTGATCATAATGAAACGGAGGACACAACCGGACAGTTTTTACAAAATAATAATTACGACGAGGAAACTACTTTAAAGCAAATTGATCACTTCCTTACAGAAAACATTGAAAGTTCTACAAAGAAAGAAATGCAAGAAAGTATTGATAATTTTTGGTAACTACTTTGTTTGAGGTGGAACCATCAACACATTTTCCCCTGCCCTCTGACTCCGTGTATTTTCCTTAAAAATAAATAATACTTTATTGAGTTACTTTCAATGAGTTTATTCCTAAGTGTATCATGCATCACGCATAATAAAATTTCACCTTCATAGTTGCAGATAAATCAACGCCTTGCTTCATCCCCGTTTGTTTGTCCTTGTTGAGCAGTGTGGTTTTTAAAAATTCTTGTGTGGACGGTTGTGTTTGGCTTGCTTTGGCCTTTTCGCTCCTGGTCCGTTCCTATAAAATATTTAGCATCAAAGTCGTCAAATACTTAGTTACTGATAATTTAGTGAAACCGAAATTCCGTGCATGTTGATGACCCACGTTGAAAATAGGACTGTCGGTAGTGTTGTCGGAAGTAACGTTGACATTAGTTGAGGTTGGGGTTTTAAGGTTCCTCTTACTGGCGGAGATGGCTTTTGGCGTATCTTGACTTGTTCCTGCAATAAGACTTATTGTAATCGTCATAATTTAAATGCAGTATCACATCATTTTTGTTATACAACAAATCTAACTAATTACTTAAGAATAAAGGCGTTCAATTTGGACGTGGGAAACAAAGAAACATTCGTATGATACGTATAAGTATACGCAGATAAATATAAATCAATAACTGATTGATTGTGCATGTACCTTGAACATTACGCGATTTGAGAAATTCGACTTCGGATCGAAGACCTTTCATCTCCTCTTGAAGTTCGTTCACTACACTTTGCAGATCTTCCAGTTTAAGATTCTTTTTTGGGGGCATGATATTTGCAAGTCAGACCGAAAATGGTGTGATTTTGTAGTAGTAAAGAACTGTCAAGTATTATAAAGTATGGATTTTGAATGTCTTGCTCTGATTGTTTATATGTAGTGTTTTTCTGAATTATTACGTATGTAATTTATTGGTAGCTCCGAAAGTATTTGGAAACATTTATTTATTACTTAAATAAGCTTTTCACATTGATTTATTACTAGATTATCTACAAAAATTTCAGAGTTTAGTTAGACTAAATTCACAGAAACTAACCCAAGCAACGATGTATTTGTTTGCATTTAACGTTGTATTCGCATTGGAATTCTTCATATCTATTTATGTAGATACATACATAGTTCGTTCACATTGATAATAATGAAACACACTGAACTGCAATATTCGATAAGACCTTGTGTGTATGAGACTATGAATTACAACTAGTTTTATACTAGTCGTATCGTCATACATATGTGAGTACACATCGGTATTAGTTAATTATCATGTACTGCAGGTATAAATATGTAAAAATTATTTCAAAATACACAACTACAGTGTACCGATATATGTATATGTGTATGTGCATATGCACATCAGAAGCGCACAATCATGAGCTTGTTACCTAAATATGCAAACTTGACAAGCCATATTAACATCATACCCACTGAAAACACATTTGCAATTCAACTTTGAAATGAAGAACAATTTGTCCAATACCCTTAACGAGGTCGCAATATAGGGAACGATGATATTTTACTATTCATTTCAAAGTTGTAAAATGAAATGGTTTTATTTTGAAGAAAAATTAAACAAACTCGCCATTGTGAAGAGTGAGACGGAATAGAGCATCGCCATCCCATCAATTATCTTAATCTTGACAGAAAGTCTATAAATATCAGTGATGCTAATTAAAGTCAATCAAATGCATAAAAGAAGTATGTGCCCCATGATGTTTCCACAGCTTGAGAGTTAATTCGCTTAAAATTATTCAAAGGAAATTAAACCAACATAATGGTTCTCCCTACTAAATTCTACCCAAGTTTTTGCTCTTATTGCTCGGGAAAAGAAGAAAGGTTCGAAATTTTCCGAGAATATAAACCATGGATCAATGCCAAGTCAGCCAATGCATTTCACCGCGTAAACACCCAGCTGCAATAAAATCGGCACATGTTGAAAGTATAATATTTTTACATCATTTGGCTAGTACACAGACAAATGAAATATGAAAATCGAAGTTCATCGACGCATCAAGATCCCAGAGGGGTGGTCAACTTGCGAAGAAATTGAGAAAGTCGTGGTTCCGGGTGACATTGTTGAAATAAAGTTTGGTAAGAATACTTCTCACTTTGTGCTCAACATTCGAAAAGGATGGTGTGTCCACGTGAGGCCTCTCGACTCTGAGGGAGAAAACAACGGCGTGGACATGATGGTTGTCAAAGATGCGTCCGATTTGGCACAAGAAGCTGGGCTTCGACCATGCAGAATAAACAATTTTGAAGAATTCTCAATGTCCAAGAATTTGAAGCCAAGATCTCTGAAAGACTGCCTCAATCTGGCAAGGGCGAATCTGGCGAATGGTCCCATCACCCTTCCAGCCAGTGATATCACACCCGTTTTCCACAATAATCACTTGGCTCAAGAGTTTTGTCTGTATTGGAAATACAAAACCAGCCAATCCTCATCTTCATCTCTATTGCAATTGCTCGTAAGTGACTGATGCTCCAATAATCCTGAAAAGTGGCATCTCTAAACATCTGCACATAATAATATCTATGTACATATGTGCATAGGCGACAAATATAATTTAGAATAATTTGTATTAAATTTTTTTTCCAGACGCATCCAGGCTTTTTGTTCGTTGTCCTTGCAGCAGGAATTGTCGCAGGAGTTTTGGCGTTTTTGTAAAAATAAAAATACGCACGTCCCCTGAAATTGTTCTTACATAATTCTTGTCATTCAAAACTATACCTTTTACAAATTTATTAAAGAATTGATTAACATTATGCTGAATTTGGTTGTTGTACTTGATTTGTCATTTAGAATACATTAGGAATTACTAAAAATATGCTGCATTAAATGTCCATTCTCTTCCCCGTTACTATTACTTGTAAATATTATACGAGTTGAATAGTATTCTACATATTTGCAAATTTGCATTTCTATGAAGCCATTTGTTTGTTTTTTTTACTCATCTTCCAGACGATGCTTGCAGAGAGGTCTGAAAAAGTTAATTTATGTTATTGCATCTTTAAGAAGGTAATTGAGAGTCGATGACAAGATTATGGCTGGAGCCGCCACCATTACTGAGAAAGGGTTAATAAAACAAACCAACACTTAAGGAAACACAGATTTTGTAAAAGTAAAACTTTTCTATTTATTATGCTAACGCCATCATATATCATATGTACCCAACGCTTTGCACATTTGCATTTTGACTTTTAATTTGTCGGTCAAAATTTGCAGATAATTTCAAAATTCTGAAAAAAATCGTTAAAAACAAAAATATTATTAAACTAGTCAATTCTCAGGTAATATTAAATAATTATTCACCTGCCGTCGATTTTGCGCAGTTTTGAAACAAACTCAAATACATATTTCTACAAACAAATCTACTTTTGTTTATTGTTGCTAGCATTCATCTAGTTAACAAACACCAGTTGCATCTTTACTCAAAATACAGAGATGAAAGGTGCCGAGACGTGATTTACTGCGACAACAATCAGGGACCGAAGATTGATAATTATATCGTATCGAAATTGGAGCGCCAGGTAAATAATTAGTGATGAATTTTGTTGCACACGTATCGGAAAGACTATAAATACACATGTTCAAAGATTTCCAAACTCGTTGCCAATTTTACGAAACCATTTAATACTGGAATTTACAAGATACGAGTTGTAAATTACAAGCTGCATACATAACCATGCACGTTTTTTGATGTGCAAGAAGGTGAGAGGGTGAGAAAAGTGGTCCATTTTATAACTGTCTTCAATTTTGATTGATTGTCTTTCATTAGTAAACACTCATGAAAGAGATGAATGTTCAGGTGCAACGCTGTGTGCATAGCAAATTTACAAATCTGTAGGCTAACTGTAGGCTCTCTACAAACTTACAATTAATGGCTCGTTAGCCGATGGCTTACGGAATATTAAGCAATAATTCAAAACTCTTTGAAACTCGATGATGATTTTTCATTTCGCCAGCCATCCAGCAAGTGCTTACATCGTATGTACGTATTCCTTCACGATCTGCTAACATTTAGAGTGAGGGCAAAGGTGCATTTCCAACCAACAACCAAACACCAAAAACACTTATTCGTATTCTCTCTGTCTGTGTGGCTTGATCAATATTCAACAATAATTGCAAACCATTCTGGAATCAAATAATCTCTTGTACACATTTCTTTTATCGTCGTGTAACTTATTCTTCATTATGTGGAGGGATTTTTCGCACCCAACAATCTAAGTTAGCATATATCATAGCATATTTAGTACAAGCATAGCTTAGAAGCCAGACACTTCTTGTAGTATCAACCCGTTGTCGGGGATATAAATACCAAATGGTAGCAGGCTAGTCAGTCACACTAATGCGACACATTTATGTATACAGAATGACGACAGAGGGGCGAGTTGATTTGCAAAATTGAATAAGTTCATTAGGAAATTTAGATGGTTCACTAACTCTATTGTTGGGATGCTGATGGTCGTGGAATTGTAGATGGGACACAGTGTTTCGTGTGTCGTATCGTGTGTTGATCGTAGGAGAAAAGACATCATCAAGAGCGATGTTGTGCAGTATAAGTAACATGCCCAGAGGAAGACAAGAACTCTGCGGGATAATGGCGTCTCAGAGTCCGCTCTTGACAAGCCACGCTACAACAGGTGGGGCTCATCTTGGCCTTGCCTCCTCGATTATTATATTGTTATTAAACTCACTTAATTCCTATATCAATTACACGCTGCAATAAAATTATTCAATACTTTGTGATTTGCATTGTCTTTCAGAATTGAATTTCAGAATACAGTTGGACGATTGTTTAATGGCTCCAAGCAGTTTTGCACAAAGGCAAGGCAGGCAGACATGCTGGGATAATGCTATGTTTGAAATTAGAATAAACGTCAAAATTAAAATGAATGATTAAAGAAACAAAACTACATCATCCAGCCCGTGTATTGATACACACAGCACAGTATGCACTATAGAAGCAGTAATAATATTTACCAAATCATAATTTTACTATAGTTTGTTGAAAAGCATATTGTTGACCTAATGATAAAACCGGACAGCTCTTTTGTCCACCTCCCGGAAATTTTATACACGGGTTGGGTAGGATGCATCCATGTGCCGTTTTATCATTGGGTCGACGATATGTACATCTTTAATAATTGTCCTTTAAAGTACAATTTTTTCTATGTCAAAGATTGTATCTGTTATTTTATCTTGTCAACTAAAACTGTTAAACCGCTTATATCGTATCAATGCAAAATACTGGAACACACATATTTTGAAGCCTGGCTAAAATCTGCGTAGAATATTTCCAGATACATTTAATTTCGGAATCAAAAATACGATTATACTGTCTCCAACTGCACAAACATCAAATCGCATAAATCTACATACATCAATCAAGTTCATCAGTGCATGCATGGCAAATCCGAGTGAAATAATGAGCCATTGGCTAACAAGCAGTAACAAGTAAAGCGTGAGGCTACACCGAAAATGCTAAATAACTGTGTCAAGATAAGTGCCAAGTATAGTGTTAAGTTACAAGTATTTTGATAGCAATTAAAATTAACTGTGCAGTTTAGGCTGTAATTAATTACCTTCTAGATATGCACATTAATTTCAAAGGTGTTTGTTTGTCTCACTCAATTGTTTCAGAGGAATAAATGGCCACACGAACTCCAAACTTAATCAATTTGCGTTGTTGAGGTGCTTATGACTTCATTTACTCTCGGACGACATATTAATTTCCGTGTCGCCAATGCGCCAGACTGCCCAGAGTGTAGCACATAATTTATATTGCATTTTAATTAGTTGTGAGAAACCTCTATAAATTACACGGAGAATAGCACAGCAAGATAGTGTGGTTGACATGACATGGTATATTACATCAATTACTCAAGCCTAGCTGAACTCACCTGTCCAACTTTTTTTCTTAAAAAAAAGTGCCAATCCAGCACAACGTGATTCTTGTGGCTGAATCCAGAATTGTATTTATGTACTAACTCGTTCTCACAGAGCTGTGTCCATCGACAACATGAAAATCCTGACAACTTTCTTCTTAATAATTCATAAAAAATAAATCAATGCCATTGAAGGTCGTCTCATGCTTCATCATCAAATTAATCAAACCCGTTTAAAGATTTCAAATTCAGTATCTATTTTATAACCCAACAACAATTTATACAACACTTTATTACGCAAACATGTGACCAAAATGGAAACTGCATAGGTATTTATTATTGTAGTGCTGCATTTTTAGGCTTTTCTCTCATTTTCACAACCTTATTTTACATCCGTTAAGCCTTTCGGCCTTACAGGGCTTTTGTTTACATATACTGACGTCTTTCTATGCACATATTACTATACCTTAAAAATAAGGACACACTCTCTTTGTCAATTATGCATTGTTTCGTTAAAATGATAATATTGTTGTGCAAAACAAATGGTTGGGGAAAACTTTTCTCTTCAATTAATATTTAATTCCAAGAAGTTAAGTAATTCTAAATAAGCAAATAATTTAAGAATGGCATATATAAAATGGCATATATGAATGGAATAGAATGGCATATATGATGAACTTCACAAGACAAATAAAATATTTTCCATTGGAAATCGACCAACCTTAAAAATTGTTCAGCTAAGGGCTCATGAAATTCATTTTAATTTTGTATAATTGGTTACTTTGTTGGTTAGAAAGTGAAGTTAGTAAATCAATGAAAACTACGATCTACTCGATAGGGATAGGTGTTACATAGATTCATAAGTGTTAGTTGGAGAATTGTCTTAAAATCATGCTCAAGGGGTTTACAACCAATCTGAAGGGTATTAATTCACACATCAATCCCTTGCATGTGGGTCATAAATATCACCATGCCACAAATTATATACATATGTATGCATTATTGTATTTTCGCCTGGTTGGAACGGGCGAGACATTTGTTGGCAGACAGACGCCTTTAAAGTTTACAAAGCCCATATTGAATTTAAAAAAGCCTGCTGCCTGGCAGGTAGGAAATGAAGAAAGGATTTACAAAAATCCACTACACACACAAACAGAAAACAGTCTCAGAGACGGGCATTTAATATCGAGCTTGTGCAGGGGTGATTATTTCAGACTTTGTTGTCATTTATTTTCAACACCTTAGGTTTTCAAAAATAATAAAAATCTTCAGACGACGGTGGTGCCAGACTTGTTACTTTGCATTAAATAATTTCAGCTATTGTGGGCGTTATTATTAATACATTATAGTAAATGAAGCAAAACCGGTCATGTTTGACATGCAAACGATGGTCATAAGTAATCATTGAGTGTAAATGAGAATTTCTTGTACGCAGTGCAACAGTTAGATGTGTTTCGTTGCTCTAATATTTTCAACGTTGGTGTACGATAGTAATTTATGAAATTTTTGTGCAAATTTGAACCCGATTTTTTTGCCAGAGGATATCAAATTTTGCTGTCGACATGTAGTTGGACTTGTTGATTGATACATTTGTTCTCTATTTCAACTTGGCTGCAAATGGTTACCTGTTCTCAAAGTCAAATAATATTAGAAAAGCAGTTGAGCTGCATAAGCCATTGATTTGTGGTAAATGGCTGTAGGGTGTGTGTAATGATACCTGTATTGGCAAAGTAATGGATCAGCTATGCAAGTCGGGTATACGTTCGTTCGTATAAAACATTCAACCTGAGCCTTCTCTCTTCTTGACACTCTAAAATTTCTTAATGGCATGCCATTTCACTCTGCTACTGCAGTTTAGTCAGTTTTTTAGTTCAATTTACACCACGGCTCTCAGCTATTGCTTTTTGGACACTTCATTTTTCAACTGGTTATTCCTGTAAGTCGCAGTCAGGCTGATGGGTGTCAATGCTTTTTTCCATTTGAATTATTCCTAGTTTTAGCTCTCATCAATAAACACGTACGCTAAAAAATTGGTAAATAGTTCTTCCCATCCTTATTGTAATGGCATTATTTCATTTTTAAATTTATTGGCTGGTTCAGGATTAATTAGTATTCTTATCTGGTGCGGAGTAAAAAGGTGGAATTGATACATACCTACATTCGTATATATGTATATGTGTATGTACATTTGCTGCTTTAAGTTCATTGATTTTCTTAATAGTTTCAAATACTAAATCCACGACTACGGTGGAGCAGATATGTAAGAAGTTAGTCTTTAGCCAGAATAAGGGACTATGTAGCTGACGTGCCTGTCTGTCCGAGACGCGATGAAAGTTGCTGAGGTGAAATTGGAAAATTTTTCAACCAGTGGGACCCAAGAGTGTGAACCATACCGATTTTCAGAAAATATTTTAAAACGCTGAAATTCATATGATACTTAACGATCCATAGTCCGTGGTTTCACGATAATTTTCCTATTTTGCAATCTCTTGATGTATTTCTACAGCATTTCGAAATAGATGTAAAATAAGCAACGTATAAATAATCAGAGGGACCTTCGAGGTTTCACCCATACCACTTCTTAAAATTTGTTATTTTCTGCTTGTAATTAAATAAGCGAGTCCCACTGGTCATGACGTTCAATGTGAAGGATTTGTAAATGCTTTAAATATTTGGTGCCAAACAATAGAAAATATTTAACAAAGATTCGACCAACCCCACCATGGGGGTCGTAATACCCGTAGTCCGGTTAATTCGGACAAAAATTTAGAAGCGGACTGTGCTAACACAGTGCTAGGGGACTCGGGCTAAATGAAGTCTTCACTACAGGTTGTATTTTATTTATTTCTCAGCTTTATCGCAAAATACTTTGCGGAATTCTATTCTAACTTTTATCTACCTACATAATTCAACTGTTCCAAGTATTTGTATACGTATGTAGATGAGTATAATAAAAAATATGTTGTGTACGAATTTATCATTAAACCTTAGATGTTTAATTTAATGTAATTATTGCGGGCGTTTAAATAATTGAATATTATGAAAAGCGTATGTATATAACTGTAATCTAATAATTTGTGAATTAGCAGACACGGTTGACTGCTGCAGGTTGGAGAAGACCTCGTATAACACAAATAATAGTTTGGACAAGCAGATGTCTCATTACATAAGCAAAAGACGTTGAGACATGTAAAAGTATACATATACGGATAATATTTTATACATTTATATACTTCTCATTCATTTGACGAAGTTACGATATCATTTTAAAAAAACCATAAGACAACGCATCCAACCAGTCCTGGTAGCGTGTAGTAATAAGCATATCAAATAAATAATATACGAAATGACAACATGCAGTGTATTCCTTTACAATACAGCAAATTATCATTAGGCAGCTCAACAAGTGAATGAATTAGAGTGCATATGCATACATACATACAAACTCTTTTCACTAATACCAAGTTAGATGCTTGCGTGGAAGCTCTGCAAATGAGGCTTTGGATTATTAGTTAAAAAAGACTGGAGACCTGATTGAACTGTTTCTTACCCTTTGTAAACCAAATATCACGAGAGGAGAGAAATGGTCATGCTCTCTAAAACAACGAGTTCGTGATGCAGACTATATTTGTAAGGCGTAAGGAAAGCACGTTGCACATATTTATAGCCTCTCGATTTTTTCGTCAATATTTTCACAATTCCCAGAAACATAATTCCTTGTTGTTATATACAAAATATTTAATGAACATTTAGATTGGCTGGCCCAGTGTCCTCCATATTTTCAACAAGACCAATTCATAGTGTTCTCTGGGCACTACTGCCATGAAAGTGTAAGCAAGTGTGTGTCATCAACAGGTCTATTTAAGGTAAATATTTAGCGTTGATTATTATACTTTTCGCGTATACGTACGTAAACACTTGGCTGGAGTAAGTTGTTAGCAGTGGTGCAAGTGCAAGTGTTGTTATTGTAATACATGCGAGTGTTATTAAAGAATAAATCAAATTATGAAACTATCGTTTATTATCGTCGGTATACGTTAGCGGTTTGCTAACCTGAATCCCTACCTACGAACCAGTGTCTTGCTTGATACCGATACTGGATAAGAATATCATCACCATTTCAAGATACTACGGCATTTGGTCAGCGTTGTAATATTAGCTAAAACTGAGCGAGTGTGAAGAACTCGTCACAGTGTAGAGAAGACAGTGCACGAAGCAACATCTTTTTTTCAATTTGTGTTCAACATATCCCATCAATATTTTCATACAATAAACTGAAATACAGATAGTTGATAAAGTTTGTCAAAATTTCATCAAAATTCATAAAAATTGAACCAAGCAGCTTCTACAGTTCTGGAAACCCACGTTGTTCTTTTTGCCATCATCATTATCATCATCATAAAGTAACATTAGTGCTGTTGTTATCTCTGAGACGATCAACGGAAGGCGATCCAACCAAGAGAGTTGAATTGCTTATAGGAGCACCTTGAGAACACCTAAAGTGTAAGATTACTCTTCGAGTGATGTAAATATAACACGTCTCATTAGGGAGCATATACGAGAAGCATTTCAACAGTTGAAAAATTATTATTGCACACACATAGTCCTAATTGTTGTAGGCCCAGCTCCGGAGTCAGAGTGAGTTGCAATAAGTTAAAACTACGTGTAAAAAAAAGTACTCGTGCACAACTATTATAAATTTTGCAAGAGGAATGTAATTTTCATAACTTGGCCAAAGGCAAGACAAGAATAAGAAGGACACTAAATACTAAACATTTCTTCCTCCATACTGCAAACGTACATATGTACAGAATGCAGTAATGTAATGACACACCTTATGTTCACTTCCTCAACTGCTTCCAATTCATGTCAAGCGCTAGGCCGTCATGTTCAAGAGTCGAAACTATAACAAACTTTAATAACCAAGCCGAGTTGAAAATGTACAGAAAAAAATTTACTAAATAAAAAGTTCAAAAAGCATTATTTATCCCAATTTAAAATTAATGTTGACATTTTAACAGCTTTAAGTGTAATCTACTTGTGATTCACTCATGTAATTATTTTATCAAGACATTAATCTCGAGATCGGATTTAATTGTGACGTTTGACAACATTCTAATTCCTTTGGCTGTCAACAATAGCTGGGCTTGAACCAGGATCTGCATTACATTTTGGATTACCAATAAACATGTGAATGAACTTGGAGCAACAAAGATCTCTGTTTCCACAACTGCCCACACACATGCACACACACGACATCCCAGCAGAGAGGTGGTTACATAGTTAAATGATACGTGTGTATTGTTCCTTCCTTCGCACCACGGAACGTTTATAAAGTGAACTTTAGTTGAGTGAAATAAAATATAATCCAATCCAATTGACAAGTCTGGAGCTAGCGAGTGATTGAAAACTTCATTTAATTTCATTGAATGCATACCAGATGAACGTCTCAAATGAGTGAATTAGTTTCACCGTGGAAAGATACCTTTGTCATATCCCTTTAATTGCACGCACATACATCATTATCAACTCAGAACCGTTTATAATCAACCCAATACAGCCACGCTGACTGATACAGAAACGATTTTGCGCCTGATGTAACGTGTATGAATGCCAATCCTATGACGAATTCTTGATCAAATATAATATAAATACAATGGACCCAGCCCCATGATAATATGATATTGTGAGATAATTCATCCTCCAAACGTTCATCATACAGTACATGCTCCAAAGTTGCAGTAAAGCTGACTAAAGTTTACAAATACTTTGCATTTTCTATGCAGATCTTTATTAAACATAACAACACTAATAATAATACAGCTTCATGTCCGTGTTCAATGTTTTGTCTATGTAATTGTGCAGAGCAGAGATTCAAACAACCTGCTCCTCAGTATTGACATTATTGAACCACTGCACAAAAGCAGGGCTCAAGAGGAGATGAAAAACGCATCATGATGACTTTGACTGATTGTGCTGCTCGTTATTAAAGTATTTCAGTGGTGACGGCGTCATCAGAGAGCGAGAGAGAGAGTGACAAATTTAAATGCCATAGGTCTCTCCATTCATGAAACTCATTGTGACGACGACGACGAGAACAAAATGAGCCTGGAGTATCAAAAAGTTTATAATAGTCAGACGCACCCCGGTGAAGATGATCAGTCAGAGAAAGGGATTTCCCTGTGCACGGACTATTACGCCATTAATATGTGCACATCTTCTCCTCCTCCATCTCAATCTCCTCGCCGAGATCACTATCAACGACTGTAAGTTTTACCATACCAGTTAATATTAAGTATCATATAAGTGTCAAGCTGAGCAGTAAATAGCTGGAAACCTGAAGCAGAATTTGCTTAGGAGAGGATGACGAGAATTTCTACATATGTGTATCTGCTTATTCAGTTGTGTGCAAATCCTTGTTCCACACTTGGTTTTTCGCCTGTATGTTGTACATAGGTACCACATACTAGAAATTAAGTATCATCACAATAACATGTATCTCATTTGCACGAGCATATGTGGTACAACTTTGTTTACTTGATTTAAAACACAGCATGGAACTTTCCACTTGTTAATTCCTTAAAACCAGCAACTGGATTCTGGAAAAATATGTAATTATTCTGTACGGTTGAGCTGACATGCAGGTTCTTGAGGTTTGGATTAACCAGAATTTTAGATTTTCCCCGGAAATGATTATTGTGTTGGGAATCCCTTCATTTGTAATGTTCATTGTTCACAACAAAAACATGGCATAAGATAATTTAATTCAGAGTTCAATCGTGTATACGATACATTCAAACTTTGCCACGGTACATATAAATAAAAGAAAAAGGGCTTGTTTAGATCTTAATAAGCGTCTCAGTCATAATAAATTTATTGCCCAGTAATTATTTTCGCAGACAGATAACCTATGTATCTAACTGCTCCTCCGCACATATTCAAACAAATATCTGACTTTGGTACATAGTGTTTCCCAACTAAAAAGGTTCGTATGTTTACTGGAACAGCATTACGAGAAACACACTGAAACGATTATACACATGTATGCAAAGTAAAAAAAAATCAGCAGGATCTGAACCTTTTTTTACTGAATTTGCTAAAATTATGCCCACACAAGCCCAGTGCTAACTGCCACAGATTATCAATGTAGACTGGGAAGACATTAAAAACATACGTCATTGAGCACGTAAATTCTTTTGTTTTGTTACTTCATCAAATTTAGTTTGTTGATATTGCAGTTGCAAGATTGAGCGAAATGTATTTTTAGTGCAGGATGTGTTGTATATTATTATAAAAGAGTTTCTGCAAGTTCAACTTTTTCAATGACTAGGTCAAGAAGTACATAATACATACATTCAGGAAGCATCTGTATCATTGTTTGTGCTAAAATACATACATTAAAACTTGTATTTTTATCAGTATAAATTCCCTCCAGCGTTTTAAAACAATTAGCTTTCTGCATTAACTAGAAATTTCTTCCTTAATTCCATTATTCGCAAGCATTTGCGACTGATCATATAATTACTTTAATGAAATGGTGAAATACATATTGATAGTGTTGCGGATAGTAATTGTTCGTGAGAGAATTTTACAAGTTAAACAGTAATATTTTTACATTAAATACTGAATTTTCTGTTGATTTTATATCTTTAGCTGTTGAATTTTTTTGTTCTTCAGCATCTTGAAACATCATGTTTGTTATGTTTATTATGCATTGGAAGAAATAATGTGTCACAAATAATTCTGAATATGCAACGGGTGTAAAAGTGATGACTCACAATTTCTGCTGATGATGAAGCAGAGCGAGAGAGAGAGCTAAAAAGTCCCATGAATTACCAGCCACAAACCAAGAAGAACTCTGCGTTGTCAGTCCTGTCCCGAATCCAGCAACGAAAAGCCTTGTTCGTTCGGTCCATTTGAGCAGTTTTCATAATAATAATGAATCTGATTCTTGTGAATGAGTAAACAAGCGAGGAGATGAGATGACATTTCATTTCTCTTCCCATGACGCTGATATCTTTATCAGTCTCTCCTCCTGGGTGGGATGCATGCATGCATTTATTCGGTGCTCCACATTTCCATTCTACTTATCTTCCATTCTATTATTAGAGAATCAATAAAAAATTAATCGATCACTTTCATCATTACAGGAAGCAGAATGCACCACAAACTCAAGTCTCCACTATTACCAAAGTGTTTCTCAGATTAGAAGCCTCAACTGGTGGGCATTCATCCAGATCCCCAAGAAGAATGAAGTGCTGTGAAGGGAGCTTATCAATTTTACCCAATCACAACGTTTGGTGGACGTGTTTCTTTTGTCTTGGACTCTTGCTACTTTGCGTTTCTTGTCCTGTGGCAGATGCTGTGGGGAATCTTGTGGGTAAGAAAATTCAAGCTTTATGTAGGTGTGAGTGAGATTTTCAAAATGTATGCCTTTTGTAACAGCATTTTTGATCACAATAAAACTTTATAACGTGCTAGGTGCAACTAATTCCTTGGTAAATTGGTGTAATAAAGTAATTGTTTTATAATCTGTGTCCAACTAGGTATATCAGGCTCATCTCAAAAATGTGATAATGAAGGAGAAGTGTTTCCTTTGCCTGGGTCCATCGAGAATCCTTGTTTCACGTGTTTGTGCAGGGTAAGTATTCAATATTTAAGCAGCAATTCTTCTATTACTATTACTCAATACTTATCCATAAGTATATAAATACCTATGTGCTCTGCACCCATTCTTGAACCATTTAAGTAACTTCTCGTATGCAATATCCTCTCGTTCCTATTTCTCTAACCCACAAAAACAAAGTCAACAAAAGTTGTCCAACTTTAACTTAATGCTAAAGGACGCAAAGAAATACCCAAAAGAAAGGCATACGTACATTTGTACAATGCATGTACACAAGTTCATACATCTAGTCCCACCTCATTATTATGCCACTTTCCCACTAAACTAAACATTGAAACAGGAATCTATGGACTGAAATTGTTTGCGTTTGAGTGAATGGAATTAAACCCAAGTTTTGTGTAGCAGCAGATAAGATTAAGTAGCTCAGAAAGAAATTACAAAAGCAATTTAAAATAAGGTTAACAGCACAACAGTCAGAATGGATGAAGTAAAAGGTGCATACGTAACATCAAGTTCTGTTGAACGAACCAGGTTGTCCATGACCATTTAAGAAGTTGTTTGTCATTAGCCACCACTCTCTGCTGTGATTTTACTTAAGTAATCTTAAGTAGTATCTTCTGTTCTTCAAAAATTCGTCCACATTCCTTCCCTTCAGTTGTGGAACGACCAACCAACAAATTATGACAGAACGTGGTACACTCTTATACACACCTGCCTCACCAACAGCTTTACGTTTTTACCATTCCGGCCGTCGTTGACCGTATTACATACTCAATTCCATCTCAAAAAATTAACCCACAAGTTTTGCTCCAGTGTTTATTAAACATTACGTTATGTTCTTTTAATAATGATATCAAATTGCAAACTAAAATTGCATGTGAGGACTATCAACTCGCTCTTTCGGTGCTTTGTTTCGTACTCATTAAAATTCAATAAAAATAATCCCAAAACAGAGTTATAAATAAAGTTGAAAAGCGTTTTGATGTTGCTGGCTGCATGTTTCCTATTGTTTAAAAAAGCAGCAGTCTCAATGAAGGCAGTGTTTTACGAGTTGAACAATTTCAAAATGTGCTTCTTCTTGTGAGTGCCTTCTCCATAATGTTCATGTAATGACCAATTTTTCAGCTCGTTTCTATCCATGCGGCATTTTTTACCGGCCCCTCAAACAAGTAACGAAACGAACCAAAATCCAGCGATTGTTGTTGTGAGAGACTGAGAGAAAGAAGGCTCTCACTACTCCAACATGGAAAGATTTGTAATTAGGGTTATTATTCTCTCTCTCTCTCGGTCACATTCACGTTTGTTCTTTACGCTGGGAAGTGGGAGGCTAAAAGTATGAGTTATTATTGGTATGCTTTCATATACTCGAAAACACGACTGTGACTCTGGCTGCATTAACGTCTTTTTGGTTTGGTTTGGTTCACTATGAGTCTCAATTCCACTCATCAACTTGCTTTTTTATCTTCTTCGTTGAAATAAACGACTCGAATTCTTTTATGATAAACCATCGAAAGGGTTAATTTACTACTTCTTCTTCTTTTCAACACCGCTCTTTTCTTGTTCCCACACACGCACTCGGATTCTGTACAGTAAGAAAGTCATGGATTTGGGAATTTGGTCTTAAATAATATTGCACGATGCGTATGAATTCATTTACTCTGCAGACATTATTTTCAAACTCCAACATTCCTATGGGTTGCATTCTCCCCGTCTCTCTCTCTCTCTCTCTCTCGAGCTCTTGGGTTTGGCTTTATCAGTTGAGTTTGGTCAGGTTATCAGAAATGTCTTTGAACTTGTTATCTGCAAATTCTGCAATAAACAATTATAGTTGCGCGACATGGATTTCGTCGTGATTTAGTGTGATTCGTACTTTCGCATGCTTTCGCGTGCAATCACACTATTTAAATACTACCGTGTACACTGGTGACAGTGATCATAATGACATAGATACTTCTTATGAGGTATTTTGTATTGAGCAATTTTCACTCTTTTCACTTACAACTTGAGCATTAGTGATGCAAATAGGCACACGCGTGTATTTATGTACATACATACATGCATATTATAGGTATGTATTATAGGTCTGTATGAAGTTGTATCCGTACAACGGACTGAGAAAGAATGTGCTAGCTCGGAAAAATTGGAGTAAATTAAAAATAGACAATTATTTATTCTTTCTAAACCCGGATACACTATTGAACGACATGAATGAGTTGAGTGAGATTTAACCAGGCAGGCAGGCAGGCTGGATCTGATCTGACTACATCTCACACATACATATTGGCTTCACTTTTACAAAACGTTGATTGGTATGTGTGTACGTAGTAAAATTTAATTTGCAAAGTTATATGCATTAAGATCGACATTAGTACTAAATACTAATTACTCCAAATGTTGATAATGCACCGCAGACACACTTACGCATACCAAATTCATAACATCATCACCGTGATGTATCTATATAAACATATGTATTACAAAGCTGAAAGTGAAGTACATATGTATACTTTGGCTATAAGTCGTCAACGTGAAAAAGTCCAGAGTAATTTTTTGGTAAAGTGGCGGCTTCTTTTGTTAATTAATAATAAAGAGGACAAATGATGAAAGACCACACATTATTAAAGAATCGAGTTACGAGTAGCTTCCGAAGCAATAAAATTACTCTGCTCTGTGATGATCACAGGGACGGAATGAATTTAATATTATTTACTTGTAGCTGAATGCATAAGGGTCCAGCAACGTATACATAATTGACGGATAAGAAGAATGTGTGTGACGCTTTATAAGTACAGTTTGCCAGTGTTATTATGAGTTGGCTATTTTTACCATCTTTTGCATTGACATTTGCTTTGCACACTGCACCACTCTCCTACCAGAAGACATATGTAGTTACAAAAAAATTAAAAGGAAAACATCAGGTTGCATAAACATTATGTGCAAAGTTTTATAGTTGCTGGTTTCAGTTTGTGGAAGTTCATTTGTCACCGAACGAACAGATATTCAGCAAGTCTTTAGTTGGTTGGGTTGCTTCTCAAATGCGGATAAACACTGCTGAACTTTACTCGAGGCTACGCATTATCATTACCGATTGATTATTTATTAATTTCTTTTTGCACGGAGTATAAGCATGACATTTTACATGCAAATAAAGTTATTGGTCTTGGACGACTAAACTCGCTTGAAATGTTTAATAAGAATTTATCTTTATTCGCTACATCTTGAAGGAAAAATTTCAAGAATATGTGATAAACGGTTAGTCAGATTGGTTCGACATGTGTAGATATTCAACGACGGTATTTTGAAACAAATACAAATTCTTGTTTTTTGTATTATATAAATCTTCTTTTTTGAGTAGGCGAAATTAATGAAAGATCAGTTATAGGTCAAGATTATACAAAGTGGATGGATGACGACTCACGGAATTTTTCTCTTAGCACAGCTAGTTATCGTTAAATAGTGCGGAGTCATTTTCCGAAAGTAATGACAGCGGCACAGAGAGACAATAACAAAGTAAAGCAAATAAAGGAAACTACAAGAAAAATGGTCAATTCACTTCTTTTTAACTCTTCGTTTTCCAGTTACCGTACCGGGAATGAGGTTGTTTGGTTTGAGCCGTGGTAATTTTCTAAAGGTAATTGTATGCTACCACGTCACTCATCTTCCACCAGCCGACTTTCCCTCCCAGAACGACATGATTAAGCAACAAAAGTCAAACTAGTCAAACATTGTATACTTGAATCTCTTATCGAAAAGGGCAAAAACCCATTAATGTAGTAGGGCCTGGATATTCCCAACTATTTATGTGTGGCAACTGCATTACATAAATTTTGTACATTACTCTTTGCTAGCCTTTCAGCGGAATTCCTCAAAAATAGAAACACAATATAAATTGCAGTGACACTTTAGAAGAACTTCTTTGAAACTGACTCCAGGTCTGACTGTGAAGTCGTCCAAAGATGGATTGAAAGTGGTTCAATCGTCCATCATAATTCATTTTGTTTCAATCACCAGCCGATGATGACGGATGGTAATACGTACAAACGGTGATTGCAGTGGATCTGTAATGGTTTGTATTATGGTTCTTGTCAAGGCAGGAATTCGATCGGGTGGGAAGAATCATTTCACGTTGGAAATATGGGCCCACCGACGAAGCCCTCACCGTCTTATGCGGTACGCTGTGGGGTCTCCACCACTTTTATCATTACCAAAGAATTCAGAGTTCCTCTTAGTTTCAAGAGTCGTGCCACGTTTTACCTTGTTAATTATAACCATTCCCCTTCATTGCTTGTTGCTCTTGATTGCTTGCTCTGCATGCATAACCCAAGTGTATATAACATATATTATGTACATATAATTCATATGTAGCCAGCCATATTATGCTCATCCTTCATTTGTTGGCTGGTTGCTGGACCGTTCCCACCCTTCAAATCCGTTGTTTTTGATTTATAACACTGCTCTCTTCAAACAAGCCTGTCAGCGCAACTGAGGATGAGTTGTAACAATGAGACCCTTGCTATTACGTAAACTGGGGCTATATGTACATATGTATAGTTATCCTCCCTGCATCTCGTCTCACCCACTCAATCCTGCTTGATTAATTTGTGTGTGCAGTTTGCTTTGTGGAACATTAACGAAAAAATCGATGATGTCATGTGATACATTGACACGATTAAGTACTTGAAAAATTGTATCTAAAATCGCCAATCATCTCATTTACTATGATTCTACGAAATTATGTTGTTGCTTCAAATTATCTCATTTTTAATAACAGAACATGTAAATTAATTTGCAGATCGTCGATAAAAGTAAAAAATTCACACACTCACATTCATGTATTTAGCTACGTATTTATATTTGTACCTATGGTTTCGATCACGTTCGATTAAGTACTACATATATATTACACTATCGGACTTGTTAATTTACAGACAAAGATAAGAAAGAACCGGATAAAGTTGAGTAAGAAAGAGAGAGATCCGCAAGCTAATTGCCTTGCTGCATCAGCCAGCCATTGAATAAGCATGAATTACACATATCCCATAAATATTTGCGAGTTAGTTGGAATTGCGAGGAGATGAGCTGAGACAATAAATTGGGCATTACACACACGACATTCACAACATATTTGTCACCTTCTATGCTGTTTAAGTGGAAAGCAAATGTAAAAATATGGAATTACCATTGCAAAATAATAAAATAATCTTAATTCTTACACTAGATCCTGGTTTGGTTTACAACTTTGCAGCGAGATGAGATGTATTACCGGTTATGTAAAATCTGAGATGAGCCAAAAAATTCACGTCCAACTCGTAACCCATTCCATGAAACATCTTTTAAACGCTTTTAAACTTGCACAGTAAAAACACAGTAAATGTGGAGGAATGTTGGATGCAATATAGAGTGCATAAAACACGTGTAATTTTCCGAAACAATAACACCCTACGCGAAATCTTAATGATTTTAAGATTATTGCTCGAAATTGCGAAATTGCTCTTTGACGATCCTCAACAATGCTCACAAGTTTATGTGCTTACATAACGTGCCGCTAAAAATTTTTGGAAAATTTTGATGGTCACTATATGGAATTTGCAACTTATACGGTCAACAGTATAGGAAAATTGTTGTTACTTTTCTAGTATTATTTTCTTGCATAACACCTTTTATCCCCAATAAATACCTTTCACGCGAGATTTTTTGCATGTATGCATGGATGCATGAGATTTTTTTGGGTTTTAAAAAGTGATTTCTTGTTTTCTTTCTAGCATGGGCGAGTGGAATGTGAAAAACAATCATGTCCAAGTCTACAGGGATGTTTTCTCATCATGTCTGGGCAGAAGGACGGATGCTGTGAAGTTTGCAAAGGTACAATTTATATGTATTTTTATGCACCTACTTATCCATGTTAGTGTAAATGTAAGAACAATAAGATGTGTATTTTTCTATTAATAATATCAATTGGATACTCGAAATCAGAAAATATGCTAGAATTTTTTTAAGATATTATGACCAGGTTGACAGAGTTATTATTATTTACTTTAGAGAGAGATCCCTAAACGGGACAGTTTCTTAAAATCAGGATGACTAGCAAATTTTTTCGTTTACTCGTACCTTAAAGTTTCTGACGGCAACCTTATAACCCAACCTTAACCAACCAACCAACCAACCAATCTCACTTGATAAAAGATATTTTTTGACAGAGAGGATGTCAACTCATCAAAGCTATAGTTTCCAACACAGAAGTTATTAACACTGTCAAAAGTCCTTTTAATGATGCCGAAGTGGTTGTAAATCTTTAAATGCTTATGATTCTGAAATATGTGAAGGATATTAAAGAAGGTACTGTTTGTGTGACTTCCATTACGACAGACACTAAAAGTCATAATTCTTCAAAGAAAAATGTCACATAAAAATATATATTATGCACGTTGGGTTGAGGATGGAATGTCTTTTCCTCAGCAGGAATGACAAATAATAAATCACGGCTGATAAGACATTGGTGGATGAACAAACGGTATATCATCTTTGGCTAATCTTAAAGTTTAGGTTAAGTTAAAGGTTTTTTTTGCTTTTTTTGCCAATTTGTGATATCGTTGTATTGCTAATCGAAATTTTCCATCACAGGTTGCAAAGTCAACAACGTCACGTATCCCAGTGGGAAAGAAATTACGGAAAATTGCATTACGACGACCTGTATCGCAGGAGTATTGACGCGATCTCAGGTGCAGTGTTTTCATTCCTGTACTCACCCGTCACCCCCAAAGTCTGGGAGCTGTTGCCCTACTTGCGAAACTTGCAGTCTGAACGGAAAGGACTATGCGGATGGTGAAGAAGCAACGTTGCCTGGGGACCCCTGCGTTCTGTGTCGATGTGTCAAGGGTTCAATGCAATGTTCCAAGAAAGCATGTCCTGTCCTGTCCTGTCCAGCGTCTGCCACATATTTGGAAAAGGGCGAATGTTGTCCCCGATGTAACGGATCAAGGACTCGCTACATGCCTCGTACGGTATGCCTATTAGGAGAGAAAGTCTACCCGACAGGGACATCATTTCGGCTAGACACATGCACCAACTGTACCTGCATGGACACTACTGCCGTATGTGACAGATTGTCATGCCCACCCTTGGAATGCGACGCGTCACATCAGGTCTTGACGCAAGGATCATGTTGTGCGAAATGCGAAAGTTTTCAAAAATGTTCTTCACCACACGGGGAGGTAAGGAATTGCACATTTACTTACTTAGTTGTTGCAAGTGTGATAAAACTTTTACGCCCAATAAATTTTTGCTGCGAATTTCATTATGTAAATCCCAGTTAAACTTGTATCACTAATCCAAAGTCTATCAGGAATGTGTCTGGTTGATTTTGTAACGATACAACAATATAGTCTGTCTCTCTATTTTTCGCAGTCAACATCTAGGCACATTTGATACATATAAATAAGTATGTATGTCTCTCCTTAATTAGGAATCTGTAATAAATAATAGCCTAACAATAACCTGCATATATTTATGTATGGTATGTGACTCTATAAAAATCATCATTATTCTGACACACTCGATTCGTACCCGACATTTGCACACGATATCTCGTGTGATAAAAGTGAGTTGCTTCCAAGTCACTTGGCAAAAGCAAAACAGGATTAAACCAGTTTGATGGGCAATAGTTTAAACTCATGACATGAAGTACACACTGGCGTCTTTATATTTTTAAGAGGAAAGCATGCGAGATACTACTTACTGACTTGAGTAAAATATCACACCCTTATTATAGTAGCATCAGAAAAAATTAAGCAAATGTACATATTTTCGTTTGCATATATACGCGTTTGATTGATTCGTTTCGAACTCGAGAAACAAGGAATCCAATAATCATTCCAGGCGGCATGATGGTTACTTATTAGATTAAATTATGATCCTGTTTGTGTCAAAATCTCGTAAAAATGTTTGGATGAATCTTGACAAATCCAGTTTTTAATTAGGGCTGATGATATGCCTACATGCCTACTTTTTCTGTGTGCAGAACGGAGATCGATGGACAGTGGACAGTTGCCGAAGCTGTGCATGTGAGGATGGTAAGGTCAAGTGCGCAGAGCAGAAATGTCCGAAAAACTTACCTTGTCCTTGGGGCTACAAGCTCAAATATGTTTCTGGAAAATGCTGCCCAGAGTGCGTTGGAGGTACATATGCAATTAATGACAATAATATTTCGCAACTCTGAATTTTTGCACAAAAATAATGTCATTTTCAACTACTCAACTCTCTAGAGGATGGAGTCTGCACTGTGTTTGGAGATCCTCATTATCGAAGTTTCGATGGCAGAGTATTTAATTTCCAGGTATGCTCTACACATGTGTTTATATGAATGTATATCAGTAAATGCTCATTCAGAGTGCAAATATCGTTCGCTGAACCAGTGAAATTAACGTTTATGTTTCATCATACAATTCCAGGGAGCTTGCAAATACATGCTGACAGCGGATTGTAAGGGGAAGAGTTTTTCTGTACGAGTGCGTAACGATGCCCGCGAGTCTCGAGCGTTTTCATGGACGAGAACTGTGACCCTGAAAGTGAGGGAGGGACGAATCACGATGGGGCAGAGGATGAGGATTAAATTCAATGGTGAGATAATATCCAACATTACCAGGATAAGAATTTTTAAAAGTGCTAAAGGAGAGTCCTGGTACACTTAAATGTACTGTATACACATATTGATCATTCGGTGAATTTTATATTCAGGAAAACGCGTTGCACTTCCTTTTATCCAAGAATCCCTCAAAATTACCCAAGACGGGTATATTGCAACAGTTGATACTGGAATTGGCCTAAAATTGCTCTGGGACGGTAAGTACCATGCCTGAAGTGTATCACCCTCTTGTTAAATCCTAATGAAAAAATTAATTTATTACAGGTGACAGCTTTTTGGAAGGTAAGAAATTTCGCCTGTAACATTGACAAAAGATCATATAAAATATGTCGTGCAATAAAATGAATAAATGATATAGTTTCCGTCCCTCATGCCCTCCAAGGGCGTCTTTGTGGCCTATGTGGAAATTTCAACGGAAACAAGTAAGTGCTCCGACACTCATGAAAACGCTACTTTTTGAGATACATATTTCCTGAATTATCTAAACAAATATGTGTGGATATTTTCGTAAAAATAGATCTGATGACTTTATGGCACGACAAGGAGGTAATATGAACTGTTCAGCACTCGCTTCACGGGGACAACTGGGCGTGCTTTCTTGATCAAAAGGAGAGTATAAAGAATAATTACATAAGACAAGTTCGATTCTAAAAGAGCAAGGCTTTATTAAGCAAACTATTTCATACAATACGTATAAACAAATAGGTAAATCAATTCATTGGGCAAAAGTGAGTCTCATAACAATAACAATTCATAATAGGATTCAAGTTCTACAAGTGATTTAAATTTCCAGACTGAGTGGCATAATCGTAGTCAGTTGGTCCAAAAAAGAAATGTATTTCATTTCGCACAATTTTCTTGCTCGCGGTGTGGGGAAACCTCCGTCCAAAAAAACATACCGGCGATGATCGTTGCCATTGGTGGGAGGGTGGACGAATTTGAAGTGCGTGTAGGGGTCTTGCATTACTCGGTGGGGATCTTGATTTCCTCCCAGAATCCCTTGAACCATTTCCGCAAAGTCTGCAACGCGAGCTTCAGTGTTCAAGGGGAAAATACTTCGCAAGTTTTGGAAACTGAAACCACCGAAATGCATTTGGAAACGAGGATGACACGTAGAATCCTGAGAATGGCATAATGATTATTTGCATGGGTAAACATTATTAGTCAACAAAATATAGTTCAACGTATAATATCCATCTCACAGCTGTATCGGTTTCACCACAATATGTCGAGCTACGACCTAGTCTCAAACATTCGTTGCAGTATAGCAGATACACGACGTTTGTGCTTGCACAAGTGAATCTTTTCCGCGGGTGGAGAAACAATCCAGGTCCATATTCGACAATTGGGGACTGATCTATGCACGGTCCGGTTACGGTGCAATTTCCTCGTCGACATCGTTCACTTCCTGGGCCATACACACCCCTTTCAGCGTTTAGATTAATATCATCCAATAAATCTGTCAATAGGAACATTTGTATATGTACATAATGCGTATTATTCAATCGTCCAAAACATGTATGTTTACCTTGTGCAGACCGCTTGAGTCCACCAATTGATCTAATTAGGTTAGGCTGATTGTACATGTCGTCATAGGGGAGTAGGCGTCCTGTTGTTTTGTTGACAACAACCGCTTGACCATCCTCACTGAGTCTAATTTTTTTGAGGTTCGCTTGGTAAATCATACCTAAAAAACTTCGTTTGGTACTGGCCACTTTTCCTGGGTTTCTGGTACAATCAATTCGGAATTGTTGCACGTTGGCTTTCATCCCATTCGTGAACTGACGTCCAACGTCAGTCGATGCGAAACTGTGGTTTAACAAAGAGGTAGGTCGAAATCGTTCGTATTCTAGCAGAAAAAGAGAATTAAACTAGTTAGTAATATAAATAAGGTTGCACAAAAAATTACCTTGTAATTCAGCGTCGAAAATCGGACACCCGGCTCCAATGTCCAAAATTTCCCCTAAATTTGTGGTTAACTGAAGAGGGAGGTCCGTGTTCCATTGCCAACAGTCGTTAACAGCAGGATTGGGTGGTAATGGTATATTGGTAAATCCAAAAGACTGAATATCGTTCAACTCATTCCGAATCTGGGTAAAATTATTCGCAGCCATTGTAGTTTCGAGAAAATGAGACTTGACCCTTCAGGTTGACAGTTGAATGATGAATGTGAAGTTGAGTGAGTGAGCAGTGGCGAGCAAACAGACGCTAAAATAAGAGCCAAGCCAAGCCAAGTCAGTGGTGGCAATATATCAATGATAAGCAATAGTTATTTATATTTAAGTGACATGTTTGGTTTTATTCGAAAATAAATTTATACAAGGTGGCCCAGTAAGTCATCCCAGTGCATTTGGACAATCGTGGAGGGTGGGAGGAAAAAAGGCATGCAGCAGAGAAGAAGGTGCGTCCTTCATATTTTTACATCGTTTTACTATCCTCAATTGACCAAAAAGACTGACTCAACTCTCAACTGTTTTTTATGTAGTGAAAGGTCCTGAACCAATTTGCAAAAAGAATTGGAAGACAAGGGTGAAAGCAGAAAAATCCTGTGGTAACTCAAGTTTTTATTCAGACCTGACTTTTCCGACTACATTAACCAATCAATTAACTTATAGGTGCCATTCGCTCCTCTGTTTTTGCCCCTTGTCATAAGACAGTTTCGACAGAGAGGTTTTACAAGTAAGCCCCATACCAATAAGTGAAATCAGCTTCACAATAATTTTGTATTGATAACATGATATCAACATTGTTTAATTGCACATATCTAGATCTTGCATGCTTGACATGTGCGAATGTCCCTTGGGAAGAAAATGCCACTGTGAAGTATTAACAGGTATGTATCTGGATTAATGTAACTATATTTGAATTCTAATCATAATTCTGAAGTAATAATCACCAATAAAAATATCATATCACAAAAATTACAGCGTTTGCTCGTGCTTGCGAGAGAGCCGGGGTTCAGATTCTAGATTGGAGAGAAGCCACAGGTTGTACCCACAAGAAGCGGTGGCAGAACTTTAGCTAATTTTTTTGTACTTTACATTTTATTACGAAACAAAAGGTCTGCATGTAAAACGATATTCTCCTCTTTAGTAACAACAACTATTAGCCGTATATCAAAGTACCCTGTAGAAACTAAAAGTAGAAGACTTGATTATAAATTTTACAAACTATTACTATTATTAGATAGCATTTTACGAATTCTAGTTAACAGTCCCGGCCGGAAAGCACACTTTATACAAATGTATTTAAGTTTATGTATGTTTTATCCTTTATCAGCATCTCGATTATCTTATGATCAATATACATGAATAATTTTAAGAATTTATTATTCACAATAACTTTACTCGTATACCTTGGAAAGATTTATTTTAATAATTATTTATTTGTATGTATATATTATTATTTGTAAGTTTTTACAATATTTGCAATGTGTGTAACTTGCAGATTTTATTTTTATTTTGCACTTTTATGTTTATTCAGTAATTCTTAATTTAGTTTTATTTTATTTAATGAAAAATGTTTTTTTCAAGCCGCAACCTGAAGTAAATAAATGAACCGTTAAGACTGCATACAAACAAAATTATTCTCTCGAAAGTAGCTTTATTAGTAGTAACCAGTTAAAAATTATTGAGACTGTATGTTATAAGAAATTTTAATTTTCTCCCAAACAAATATATAATAACACAACTACACTATTGTTTCACACACCACTCTACGTACGGGGTCATATAAAATGATCATCTACATTTGTAGAACAAAAGTATTTTCATATATTATATACCTTATAAACTGTATAACTTTTCTAGACTACGTAAATATGTAATCAGCATTATTAAATACGTAAAACTACGATTGATCTGTTAGATAAAAGCTGAAGGACATCTGGCTAACTAACTTTATCTTGGAGTTATAGTTGTTTTATAGTCAAAATACATTTACTATGAAAATAGAATAATTTTCCTTGCTGCAGAAAATCTTAAAAAAAATCTTATCGAGAAACACCTCGATATCCGCACCCTCATCATCATCGTCATTAAATGCAAGCGCCAATTGGTCGGTTAATTCTTACGCTTCTTCTTGGCAGGGGAGGCATCGTCGGTACCTGAAAAAATTGTAGCCAAGTTGTTCCATTTGGGGATGGTGGACTTCTTTGCTGCCTGTCAACGGTAGATACAAATTTTGGACATTTAAGAAAATATTTCTTCGAATATCACCCCACCAGTAAAGAATAATTGATATTATACCTTCTTTGCTTTTTCGCAATGTACTTCAACTGCATACTTCTTTCCAACCGTGACGTCTAAAGCCTCCTTGATATCTTGTATGGAAATATTACCGAGTTCGGCAGTGGATTTACCACAGAAACCTTCAACATCTTTTGAAATATTCATCATACAAACAATTAGTTGAGGTTGACATAACGTAGGTTGTTTCTTGTATTAATGCAATTAATTGTTCAATACATACTACATACATACCTTTTTTCAACAGAGTCAACTGTAGATCGGCAGTTCCGTCGCTGCAAGTGACCTGTTAAACACCAAATAAATTTTAGCTTTGTCTTTGATATAAATAATAATACACAAAGTAATATATTGAGTCTCACGTAAAGTCGAGGTATTTGTTTGCAGTTGGGACTTTTGTGTCGAGAGTCACACACAAATTCTTTGCTCTTCAGCTCCACCTGGAAATAATACATAACAATTATTAATTAAACTAGTAACTCCCTACTCATACTTTATAATTTGTAGAAATAATAATAAAATTAACCTTCTTCTCGCAAACTTTGTTGTTTTCTTCAAATGGGCAACCCAGGTAAGAAATATCCGTCTTATCTTTGAAGTGCACGATTTTCACAACTGCGTCATTGTTCTTGAAACGAAATTTTTGTCGCGAGTCTTGTTGTTTGGTTTCCACTTCTGAAAAATTTAAAACAAATAGCATATTAAACACCTCTGTTATCTATGCCCTTATTAAGAACGCTTATAAATGATCCTACCTTTGAAAGTCATCATCTTTGCCTTTCCAATAGCTTTGGGTGATTTAGGGGCACTTGTTCCAGGTGCATCAGGTTTCTTTTTAACAACCTTCGGCTTTTTGTCAGCTTCTAACATGCAGCAAAAACAATAGTTAATAAGTTTATGCTGACATAAATAACATGAGACATGAAACAGAATTATTGTTGAGTAAGCAGTACCATCTCCTTTTTCAGTGGAAGATTTCCTTGTCACTCGTGGAGCTTTAGGAAGCTTGATCTTTGCTCCTTGTGCTTTCTTTGTGCCAGGTTCAACTTTGGGGGTAGGAGCACTTTTTGTTACCACTAAAAAAATAATATTATACGTTACATATTAAGAATAGTAATTATATGACTGTTTCTACGTAAGAATATTGAATTATCATTATTAATTACCCTTTGTGTCGTCCGGCTTTGGAGGACCATTAGTAGGCGTTTTGATTTTGAGAGTTTTCGGTTTCTCAGCTCCCGACTTTCGTTTGCGTGAAGGCGGAGTGGGCAAGCCAACAGGTGGGGGTAACAATGATCCCAGCCCATTAAATGGAAGTGTCAAGGTCCCCAACCCAGAAACTTCTGTTTTTACTTCTGTCTTAGCTTTTGTCGCAGATTTAGGCTTTGGTGATTTTGCCTTTGATTTGTCCAAGGCATTTGGTGTAAGAAAGGTTGAAACGCCACCAATTCCAGGCAAAATTGTGGGTGGCTTGTTCACTTTCACAGCAGCAGGCTTTTTCGGCATTTCCATTCCACCTAAAAAGCATGGTTTTATTCGTCGATATTAAATAATGAGCTAAGGAGCTTGTTCTGCAATAATACAATGCATATAACGTAAATTTACTTACCATCCGTGGCTTCCTTTTTAATTTTTTTGGCCAACATATTTTCCTGGCAATTTCGTATGCCTTGAAGAAATGTGGGGAAGGCATCTTTAGGAGCACTGTATATTCATCATACAAAACGATCAGTTGAGGTTGACATAACGTAGGTTTTTTCTTGTATTAAAGCAATTAATTGTTCAATACATACTACATACATACCTTTCATCAATCCACTCGAGCAAAAGATCAATCCTGGCTTTGTTGGTAGGAGCCTCGGTTTTAATATCCTTGTGCTTCTGCAATTAGGGGGTTTCCCATACATGGTTATACAAGCCGTTATAAATATCTGATCTTAAAATAGTTTACAAAATCACAAAATAAAAATTCGAGTTGGTGAAACCATTTACTCTTAATTTAGCAAAATTTTGGAACTTGAAATTTTATTTTGTGATTTTACGATTTGTATAACTATTTGGTAAATAAATCCAAAATATAAAACATCAAGTGGACGGACCTTGATCGGTAAAATATCCCCTGCCAAAAGGGGTGCGGTCAAATCAAAGTAATCAAGTTGCAAAATCTTCACACGATTTTTCCCAATCGCTTTCTTTGCTCTAATGTCCATCTTTGCAGATTGAGTAAACTACCTGTAAAAATGAAAACAAATCAAATATATATCAATAAATAAAAATGATACTTTTATTTGTTCAGTCGTCTCAAATTGGCAAGCTGCATAAATAATGAGACTACTCGTCTCATTTCAGTCTCACTTTTGAGATTCTCCTCTTTGTAAGTTGTCTCAAAAGTTCTCAGCCCTCGTTAGGATTACATGCAACATTCTTCTCTAAATTAAAGTTCTAAAACTTTTATACTAACAGAAAATAAAGCTTAGCAGTGCCAAAATAGTACCGAATCTGCAATATAAAATTTAAATCTGCTCAAAAAATAGTTTTATTAATTGGACCACCACCAACTGCATTTCGCCACGTGTAAATAGAATTGGGATAGATTTACTATGTATCGAAAAGCATGTGATGCTACATTGGTTCTATATATTAATTAACATCGCGCAGGTTAAAAATACTAACTATTAATTGTGAAACTTTTCCTACCCTATATTTTTAAGTATTTACTTCCAGGCCTTTAACTTCTAGCAAATCTACATATTACTTCAACTCCAATATTAGTTATTTATACCGACGCATTAATCATCCTTGATTTAGTCACCAATTGTTTCTCAGCGAATAGCGAAATGTCAACGTGATGATAAAATCAACAAAATAGTGCAGCACAACAGCACCTGTTTCTTTCTATCGTGCTGATCAACAAGCACTCCCCACCAGCAAAAACTCCCGATTTCTATTTCTATGAACTCACCCAGAGCAAATTTCCTTCGGCTGGAGTTGTTGGACCAGACTCCTCCCGAGCGTGTGCGAAATCCTTTGGTAGTGGGTGTGCCTCTTGCCGTGTGAATTAATTAAGATAATGGTGGTTGGAGGGAGTGTGCGGTAAAGAGTGTGATTCGTAAAGTGGGTGAGTGGTGGTGGAGGGAGGGAAAGAGTCGTGTAGCAGAGAAGAAGGCGCGAAGTGTGTGGCATATGGCGGGGTAGCCCAACGGCCCAATTTCACTCAGCCCATCATTGCAGCATAGCATTGGAGTTCAGCATTGCGGGAAGTTGCTAACTGCGCATCTCCAACTCAGCTTTTTTAACACAGCCAAAGACGTGAAAGGACGCCTTGCCTTGCTTGCTTGAGTTCTGACTCTTCGCATCCTTAAAAAACACGAGGTTGGCAGGTAGAGGACTGAGTTGGGTCAGCCTAGTTTTCAACACGGGGCAGCATATTCAAGCCACAACAACGTCGGGTTGAGATTTAAACGACGAGTGGATTGAGCTTTAATACCATTTCGTCTCACTCACCCTGGCGCCTTGATTGTGCAAAAGCGACGAGATAAAGCATTGTGCAAATCATCATGAGCATTCTCTGGTTGGTAGAACAACGCTAATATGTCGTTGGATAACTCCTGTTATTGCATAGACGTGCATACGAAGTGGATTCACGTGCTGGTATGGGCTCGAGACGTTTGGCGTATCTTGTTGCTAACACGGGGTAAAATGTTGGGCAGAAGTTGACGTTATTATTCGCGTATTTCGTTCGTGTGGCGTTATGAAAGCCTGTGACTGAATGGAGTTGGGCTTGGATAGATCCTCTATTTGCTCTGGTAGTGAATTAACATCAGTCCCCATGCTTCTCCTCGTAGAGTAGGCAATATCAGCGTAATGCAAAATATTCGTAGAACCGCAATTTGATGACCGTCTCTCCAATTTCATGAAAAAGGAGATTCGACTATTAATCGGCTGTGTTCTGGTTGGAACTTGTGAAGTAAATGCTTGCAATACGCTCAGGTATCAATCGTGAGTGTTTACAAGAAACATTCATGGGTAAAATTTGGTCTTATCCAGATTCTCAATTGGGCTCAATGCTTATATATATTGAAATATTTATAATACGCCCAATATACGAATTATTATAAATAATTTTAGAGAAAAGTTTTTCTTCCGGAGTAAATTTAATTACAAAATGTCAAAGAAAAATTATATAACTAGAATATTAAATTAATTCAGGAAAGGAATATAATTTGTATTGACAAACTATCTATTTACCATCGAATTATTTTAATAATTTATGAAATATACCATTGCGATTTCAATTGAAATGATTTAATTACGGACACGATTTCCGTGAATGGCCAGCTCGAATCAACAAATTTATTACAACAATCGATTATTTATTTAAGAAATAGTTCATCGTTTCTCGAAATACTTTTATTATCAAAGTGAGACGATCCTGTGATCAAGCATAGATGAGACAAAGGCGAGGAGAGCGTCACCTCCATGCCGACGCTCGACTCGCTCCACGCTCCGTCACACGCTGCAGAGATGGCAGGAGACGCATGCTGCCTCACTCTCGCCCCCGTGACCCATGACGCCTCTGAAATCTCATGTAATCGCCACTTCGTGAATAATGTGCACTGCAATATTGTGGCGTCTGCATGTGAATTAAGATATCTCAAGTATTCATAAATACGTCGTACATATCATAGCAAGGACTATTTCATACTTTCTTCTAAATATGCAGCAAAGCATTTATTTCTATTTTATAAATCGAGTAAAAGATTAATTTAAATCGATTAGTCAAATAGAGGACATTTTGTGTGGATATGCAGCCTTTAGAGTCCTGCGTGTGAACATGAGCATATGCATTGAACAAATACTAAATAAAACATTTAGCGTGAAACGGGAATGGTGAACAACCGTGAGCACTGAAAGATAAGTGACAATCGAACAGAGGTGGTACGAGACTTCGTGTGATTAATGTCGGCTGGGAGATTTGTATGTTTGCATTTAAGATTCCTATGGAAACATGAGTATTTTCATCCCATCAAGTGCAAGTTAGCAAGAAGGAGTCTATTTATTGTTCTCCCTTCTGTACTTATTTCAGGAGCAACTTTAGCAGAAGGCGAGCATGACAAACTCGGCTGTTTACACTGAATGAAATCATAATAATATAATAATAACGCTCATTCTGCATTATTATATTCCCTGCTAACAATCTGATTTTATCTCATGATTTACAAAAGCACTGCTGAATTCGTACTAATACCACTTTTAAAAGTGTTTTTAAAAATGTTACCAATATGACCAAAATTAATCCCTTTGCAAACAAGTTAAAATGAACACTACCACCACTTTCTCACACTGAATGTGTATGTACTCACTGTAAATCTTCTCTCTTTGACCACAGATGACATTTATAAATCCTTCTTTCATGCAAAATGGGAGCTTAATCACTTATAACATTTTCTTCTTGTAAATATGTACTTCATAACAACTGCCAGAATTCCTATGCTCTTATGGACACTTTAAAATTTAACATACTATGCACTAATACTTCAAACTATGATTAAATGTGACATACTTATTTACACATAAACTGCACAAATACCAATTTGCTTTGAAATAAATAAATAAAATTAACAATTTAAATTAACTTCAAGTAAGTAATTACTAAAAATTGCATCCATTTCCTCAGTGAGAAATCTTATGCACGAGATATTGTGTATCTGTCTTGCTGGTACAATTGCAATTAAAGAGATCATTGACGTGGGATAGCTATGAAAGGTGGGATTCTGGAGTTTGGCGTGTTTGGCACTTATTCAGAATATCCAATGAAGCAAGGAAAGCCGAATTTGTGAGAAAAGTAGTTTTATTAGATTTCCAACAAACTGTCAGCCAGGAAATAAATACCATGTGTGCATGTGTATTACATAATGTATACCTTTAATCTGAATTTGGGTGTCAGGCCTGTCAAGTCATGGAAGTAAGTAACTAGAAAGTCCAATCTATTGCAAAACTTAACTTGGTACATGTATACATTTCTGTATGTATTACGTTCTTATTAATCGCTGTTAGAAATCTTTCTGTTTGTATCAAGAAAAACAAGGCGGCATGAAAGCAATAATCCGATTGTCTGACTAATTTTCTTACGCTGCTCAAACTCAAATCAACAATTTTATTTTTTGATGAATTAATCTTATCAGAATTGAAATATCATACCAGGGGAACAGCTCAACTACATTCTAGCTCACTTGTCAGTCTAGGACTCAGATCTGGCTTGATTTTGTTGTTCTTTCTGCTGTGCTGTCTCTAATAAAGTTTCTCGCTGCGGGAGCATATTACGGACTTAATTGTCAGAGTCAGTCACGAAATGGTTGGGTCATTCAACGTGTTTGCTAATGCCAAAGAGTGACTGTCAGGGATCAGTAAAAAAAGAATGACCAGTCAGTCAGTGTTGCACATTGCACAACGTTGCTTATTTTCCATTGCTGCGATGTACATACGAGTGGCTAGTACTGACTACTGCTGTGCATCATGTTGGTTGTTTTGTGTGTGTGTTGGTTATTTATTCTTTCGCATCGAAATCACAATCAACATCCAAAAGTGAACAGAAAGCATCAAACTCGGTCCAAGTCTTGTGCTTTGTTGTGCATTATCATGAAGATGAAATTAGGAGTATTATATTTGGAGGTGTTGAAGTGAGCAGAGTGCTCAGCATGAAGCCTCTCCTGTCAGGATCATGATCTTTTCAATTCAGGTAGTGAATTCTCATAGTGAATTCTCATGCCCGGTGTCAGGATTACCGAAGAACCAACTATTTACCTCTCGATCCGTGTATGTACACACATACCATTGCATTTTGAGCGCCCTTTATTGTGCATCTGCTGCCTTGCATTGCTCAACTGAAATCAAATACAAGCAGCTTTAAATCCTCGATAACGTAGGACACACAGTACACAGGAGCTCTTTAGACTTAACTTTTCGATTCACATCCATCTTTACATAATGTGATTATTCCATTTGGATATGCCATCCTGAATGCAGGCGAAAAACACGAGTTTATGGCGTTGTATGACATGACAATGCGTTTTCTGCCTCATCTTTTGTGTCATGCTCAATTCAGAATATTATAGCATAATTTTAAGGGTTTCGTTCCTCCCATCACATCAGCCTGTCCATTGTTGCTGTCTCCTCATCCTCCTCTAATACATGCTTACTTACTTACAATGCGATGGTGTGAAGTGTAACCCTCCGATTTGGCTTAAATTTTAAAATTAGGTGGTCCAAGCCAATACAACTAACGTTTCTTCAGGCAGTTTGTGCGATGGTGAGAGTTACTCAATATATTTGAGGTCAAAGTTCAAAAAACGGCCGACTTTTTTCAGGCGGAGTGAGAAAACTCCACTTCCAGTCTCTTCCCCTCGCTTTGATTTGCAGGTGTCTCGCTCACGCATACGCCTTCATGCTTAAATAAGTGCGATTTTTACTTATTTCTAGTACAAATTTACATAAAAGTTAATTTATAAATTCGCCAACGGTAAATAAACATGGAAAAACTTAACTTGCTTTCCATTTCGAACGCGTTGGTTCTAATATCCAATTAATTTATATTTTAAGTGCTCCTGTGTTTGTTCCAATGATTCGATATTGTTGGTACTCGAGCGGATTATGGGGTGATGAAGAAAAGCCCGAGTTTAAAAATGTAAACGACGTATGTCTTAGAGAAAAAAATATTAGTTGCGACCTAAATTGTGGCAATCCCACATTCATCAAATTCAGCTGGTGCAGTTTATCGTATTGTTTCGTGGACTTTTATGAAAATAATCATACGGTCACATGTACAATGAATAATTAATATTTTTCTACAAAAAAAATTAAATTTAAAATTGTTGAAATGAATTATTTTTCGGAGTGAAAATCAAAGCGAGGGGAAGAGACTGCAAGTGGAGTTTTCTCACTCCGCCTGAAAAAAGTTGGTCGTTTTTTGAACTTTGACCTCAAATATTTTGAGTAACTCTCACCATCGCACAAACTGCCTGAAGAAACGTTAGTTGTATTGGCTTGGACCACCTAATTTTAAAATTTAAGCCTAATCGGAGGGTTACACTTCACACCATCGCATTGTTAGATACCTCTTCTGAATTTCAGGTTTTCTCTCCTTGCTTGTACCAAATTCGCTGT